TTTTAAAATTGAAGCGCATTTCAAAACAATTTAAACAACCTAAACCATAAGGGATTCAATAAATTGTTGGAAATTGTTGACAGTTTGAAACTCACCTGCCAAATTCAGTGAGGCAAAACATTTTCTTCCAACTTGCGTGCTTCATACTACACAACAGCTAATCGATTAGTCAGATAGTTTATATAACACGAATTCCACGATATAGCCGCGATAAAATTGCAACTTCCGCCCCTTGTAATCCTTATGAAACAAAAATATAACTTGCGCTTATCAGTGTGTTGCAAATGCAATTTTTTTAAATTAGTTAACCTCAAAAATTGGTACATTTAGGAGAGCTGAAAATTAATGAAGCCATAATTAACACATATTATATTTATATATACTTTGTCTAATTCAGCGGTTCTTAAACGGCGGGGCGCGCCGCACAAGGGGGGCGTTAACAATTTTTTAAGGGGTAAATCAAAAATAAAGTTATTTGCTAGATTTGATCTTGCTCGCCCTACTTTGGATATTAACATTTCAAAACTTTTCATTTATTTTATTATTTACGTTCCATCCCCCAATTCTCAACTTTATTTTTTTTTATTTTTAATAAAACATACTTCCGCCTTACTATCTGTTGTAGCTTATTGTTAGCTTGTTATTTTGGGAGAGGTCGCGAGACTGAAAAAGGGGCGCGGCTTAAAAAGTTCGAGAACCACTGGCCTATTTCATCTACAACTTCAACGTGTAAAATTAATTTATATTTTCAAAATTATTAGTTAACGTGCTTAATTGCCACAACGTGAATAATTAGTCGAATAGATTAGAAAAATCCGATATTTTATGACTAATCTCTCAGGAATGGGTTGTTGTACCAATGGAGTCAGTCAAGAGTTTATAGATTCCTATCTTGTCAAACTTTACCATTTTTCATCTCTTGGTATAAATATGTTCGAAGCCTCTGTGACTTTTCAAAAATTGGCTTATGGATAAAATCATCAAATTTTACAATTTGAGAAAGCTGTTAAACAGCATTTGATGAAAAAAAGTTACTTCTTTGTGCAGATTTTAAATCGCTGAGTAATGAGGCTTACATATCTAAATATAGAATACATCATTTCTCAGTTAACATAAATGTGAGACTTTCGACAAAATGGAGTAATTGAAACAAGGATCAAATTGAGTTTACAAAATGAGTCACGCCTCCATGTCAATTTATTTTTTATATGTAGGTAGTTACCTGCAGATTGCAAATTCCTAAAAGCCGCAGACCGTCAATAAACATGACCTTTGTTGCACTATGCGATTTTTATACCATATATTTCTTAGCTGACGTGCGTGTAAAGTCAATTGTTTACCATGGAATCTTATCTTTTAATCTCCTAAGTTTGCTCATCTGGTTCCCAGTATTCCAACGGATAATGAAACCAAAAATTAGAGAGCATTGTCTGACACTTCTTGATAGACTTATGGACAATGGTACTTTTCCATGAGGCGTATGAACAATTTTACTCCGAAAAAAGCTGAAGTAACTTACATCTACTACTTCTTTTGTAGAGACCAGAATTTTTCCAGGGTTGACCCACTCCACTTACTACATCCCGGGTTAGGAGGAAAAACCCTTTATGTCATTCTTTAGAGTAGCGACTTAAAATATACAAGTTAAGCAAAATCTGCCCGCCCGGAAATTATCACGGGTATATAATCATTTCACGAACACTTTTCTCCTGTTTAATTTTAGTCATAGAGTCAATATTGTGTAGCCTTTAATATAACTAACACAACACAGTTTAACTGGTTTGTATATAAACAAAGTTAATGCAAGATATTCGAATTGTTCTCAGAATATTCTACTAATACGTGTTAAGTTTATTCCGACAACGCGATAGAAATATTTTATCGTCCCGTGAATCGTAAATATAGTTTAACGATAAAATGTGTTCAACTTTCTTGAGAAGTTAACATGGTTTTCGTATATACACTAATGAAGCAGCATTGTCGTCAATTTTGAGTAGATGTATATTGCAGCACGTTATGGCTTGCATTAATTCCAATATGTATGGTTTAGGAAATCTACTTCCACACTTTCTGCACGAAGATGAATAATTCATTTGACATGAAATATTGGGCAATAGGCGTCGTTCGCAATATATAAGTCTTGGGAATTTTTTTTGGCTCATTTCCCATGCGAATCCTTTAACCTGTGGTATAGATTTCAATAATATTTCTAATTTTGATATTTGACAATAAGATTGCTTCGTTTCATAGATTTTCAGGTAAGTTCATAATATTTGTATGTAAGTTTTCTATAGCGAAGTGGTATCGAGTCTCCGAAACATGATATATTGCGCTTGTGTGTAAGCGCATTAAAGCGGAGAAAATCTTTTGAAATGGCTTTAGATATTGGTTGATAAAAAACTCATGGAGTAATATTTACATAAAGAATCAGAGAATATCTTTGTCATATATCGTGTCGAATGGCGATAATCGTTGCAAGATGGATAAAGTGAGTTTACATAAGAAGAATTGTGCTAGTAGTAGTTATGTAGTAGTAGTATACACAGTATGTGTACCAGGTTAGGGCTCAGGTTGTGCGCCATCTTGGTGCACATACTTCTGGAGCGCCCTGAACTGTACACTCTGTTATCACACTATACAAAGAGTATTAAGATAGTTTGCCGCTGACATTTTGTGATTTTTAGTTGGATAGCTTTGCAAGTCGTTGTGTCAGCATACTTATGATACTGCCGTGTTATTCAGTTTGGTGGCGCGATTTTTCCAAATTGAGTCAGGCGAAGCAAATGCTGTAATTGCCTTTCTTTACAATAACTTTGTATATTTTCACCACAATTATAAGAAGATTATGTAACGATGAGTCGATTTAAATTTGAATAATGAGATTTCCAGGAACAGAAGAAATCAGTGAAGCAGATGTGAAATGTTTAAATATCCTCTATTTGAAATTTTGAATAAGAGTTTTGTAAACTCGTGAATTTGCGAACCTGCGTGGGCATTGTTTATTCCGGTTTTATTTATGACAACAGAGTTTAAATTATGTTTCGTATTATTGAAATTTGTGGTTTTTAGTAAAAAGTTTTTAGTTTTTTAATCCAAACATTTCATACAATCCAAACATTTGTTAAAGCCAATACCATTTGCACTTCATCCATCAAAAAAAAGATGTGACGCAAATTGCGACGTTTCCGAGAACCGTGGAAGAGAAATTGCTAGATTTTTATGTTGTTTTTGTGGAGCCCGACCATCGATTTCACATTACAGTGAATATTTATATTCCACGATAAAAAAACATATGATGCATTATAGCAACGAGGAGAATTACGTCATTATGTGTGAACTTTCCATTATTGTTTGAGTTCCATTCAATTCTGTATGCTAAATCGAACCGACAGGCCTTTGGGAATTTCAAACGGAATATCTTTCTTTGCAAGAATAGGAGAAAAACAAGTTATGTAAGTTTTTATTGCAACTATATATAACTTTATAGCTACAGCGTCTTAAAACAGTAAAATAAAATTTGAACTCTTTATCAATGAAGCAATTTTTGTGAGCTGAGTATTTCAATCGGTATTCGCTGTCAGTAGAAGTCATTTTGAATGACAATTGCGCAAATCTCATAAATACATAATAAAAGTCAAAATTCTATCTTTTACAAAGTAATGTCTTTGATCATGACTTACCAAACAAACATTCTGGGACAATATTATTATCTACTCAAATTTCTAGTATGATAATCATGGTAAATATTACAATCGATTCTTAAAATTTCTATTAAAAAAACTTTTATGTAATGCGAAGTCAGGTTATTGTTATTTGGTTTTATCTATTCGAAACAACAATCAATCTATATCGTAACTATATTTCTATTTATAGATATCTTATGCCTATGCGATAAGGAATCTGATCTTTAAATAACGTTCGACCAATTTATGGCGAATCTCAACCTGCTGTCTCATAACATATTTGTAGTAAGTTCGAGGGCATTTTCAATCTAGTTGAACGACTTCCAAGTGCTTTTCCGTATCAGTTTTTAGGAAAATACGAACAACCTATTATTGGGTCGATAGTTACTAAAATCAGGAAATTATTAAATCGTATTGCTGTTTGTCGGCTTCGATTTTTCGGAATGTTATAGAAATATGCATTGCATACAGCGAAATTAAGAATTAAAGATAAAAGGTAAAAATCTATTGGAGAATTAGAAGTTCCAGTTCGATATGTACCAGAATGCGGCATGTGTCCATGATGATGTACACGTTTTATCGATTATCTCAATCGACTGATACAAATATTGCATAAATTGCGATTTTGAGACATTTTTAATGGCACAATGATTAGCAAATTTCGGGTCGTGACTGTTCACGTGCGGAAAAGTGGAAAAATTTTGTGATGTGAAAAACATGCAAAAAATCAATTCATTTCACTGCAATTCAATTTTAGCATTTTCGAAGAGCTTCTCATTTTTTGACTAAACAAATTTGTATATATTGTATCACGATGAAGCAAAACGTAGATACCGTTTATTAAAGAGTTACGTGAAATCTTATTCTATGATGACATTAATTAAAAAAAAATTTAAAATGGCAGTATATCATCTGTATTTTGTTTATTTTTGAATTTTGGTATTTCCCATAAAAAATCTACCAGACTGAGATGAACTTTACAAAAAACTTGGCATAAAACCGTGAATAGAGTACGAGCTTTTTATATGCAGTGTTGACTATGGACGTCCAATGAAAGTAGGATAGATAGAGTGCGGAATTCAGAATAATTAGAAAAGCATTTTAAATATTCTTTAAATATATTTAGCTGAAGATACTGTTTTATATGGACTTAAAATACAAAATTTTTTTAATAAATTGTAATTTTATTTTTTACGGGAATTTCTGAGATAACGATTAGATTGCTGCTAGTTTAGTGCAAGCGAATTTAGTTTTATGAAAATATCGCCTTCAAGGAAAAGAGATATATGGTTAATCTAAATCGTCTTCGTATTGTTTTGCAGAATTGGACTTATAAAAATTATAATCCAAAATGTCGATAATGTCGATAATTATCTGGATATTAATTGTAACATGCTATTTTTCTCCGAGTGACGGAAAATTTCAAAATCCGTCCTTAATAAAAAGAATCACTTTGAAAGTTAAAGGAACGGATGAATGCGTTCGTACTTCCCAATATATCAAACCAACTTCTGGATATGCCTGCAAAAACTTGGGAGAATGTTACAAGTATCGTTGTGGTGCGATCGCGCGACACTGCAGCGTATGTGGAGAGCAAAAAGGCCCCTGCATCGATTACAGTGAGCCTGTTAAAGTGAAACGATCGAAAAGATCGCTAGACGAAAGTATGATGTCACACGATAACTACGCTGACGTCATAGATGGCTATATGTCATCACTGACCTCAAAAATCCACCGACTTGTGTCGAAAGTAAGAGCTGTCGTAGAAACAGTTCCGACGCTAGAAGCAGCTCGGATTGAAACCATGGGCAACATGATTGTACATCTCCGAACGGGAGCCAAAAACTGTGCTGGCTTTGTAACATCTGTCGATACTGGGGATGGCCGAAAGTACTTGATAATGACAGCAGCCCAATGTCTGATAAATTTTGAAGTTGAATGCTTCAGTGGATTTGAACAATATGGAGATAAATATAAAGCGGATATGACTTCCGGGAAAATGGAAAATGGTTACATGACATATCCGTTCAACCACAGCTCGCCGTGTTTTGGCGACTATGATGCTGACGTCACAAAAGTTAAAAAGGGATTTCATTCCTACGTGGTCGTTGTAACATCATATATGGGTGAGAATGCCATATTATTTGCCGTTTTATTTGCGATCTTGCATAGGAAGAGATAAATATTTTACGCGCAGAGTTCGATCATGAAAAAGCAACAATTTTTAAGTATAATGAACGATTACATAAATTACAATCTAGGATGATTTTTTGTGAAAATTTTCCAAAGGGACATTGCTCTTTTATTGGCCTAAAATTCTGTCATCAAACGTTTCATGCCCTACATGATTTTATTATTTACAGTAATTCCCCTTCCCCTAGCTAGTCGGAGTCAAGAATAAAGGCAATTAGGTTCAAAACGATGGAGCTGGTATTTGTATATACAGTTGAGCTTAAGAAGTCAATACAAAGTCAAAAACATATAAGATAACAACTCGATAAAAGATTGATTACTCAGCATACAGAAGACTTTCGATGTGTCTGTGATATTGTTTATGTATTAGTAATCCTCAAACAATAGCGTGTGGTTTTACATCTATAAATATGGGAGTCGTGATTTACCATCAGGTCTGTTTATTGTGGCTTCCACGTAAAAGTTACCACAATATGTTTTTCTGAGTATTTGATGATTTACCACAAAATATTAAAAACGAAAATTGAGGTATTTCTGACTAAAATGATCATAATCTATCCCAGATCCGAGCCTATTTGTATGTGAATAATGCAACTTCGGTGATTGGTTCTAACTTTGTATCACCGCAATTCGAAACTTAAACGAAACAACACAGTCGCCAGTATGATGTCGTACGAACAACGGGTCAAGGTTATTGCGATTGTGTGTTCATTCTATTGGACACGATATTTCCATTTTGTTTTGTGTGATGACGTCATCAACATTCAAAGTCGCGCACCGTGTGGCGGTTCCACGATTGCATCTCTGCAATCTGATGGTCAGGCTACCAGCTACTACAAAAGATATGATAATAATTCGTTTTGGCTTTCGTGGCCATATAGCATTGCCCAAAAAGGAATTTTGCATCCTAATACAAGTGTCCAATTTAAACTATGTTTTTACAGGACGCAACTTCACGATTCCACTCACTAGTAAGCACGTCATAGTCCCACGTGATTATATGGAATGCCAGGATTGCCGAAACGATTTTGCAGCTTTAAGAATCGAGAACCAGCACGCGGAAGAAATTTTACGGGGTCATGAACCCTTCATTTTATCTCCGGAAAAAGATCCTATGGATTGGACAGGAGAGGAAGTGACTCAGTTTGTATCTGTCAAGGACAACTTTTCCCCGAAACTACTGAGAAAAGCTGCAGATTCGCAATTTTGTACGATAAACTACGCTACTAATCAGAAAATGTGCTTCAATGTCCCAATATTACCAAATTCTAGAGAAGAGCAGAATTTTCTGTCTGGAAGTCCATTATTCATTACCCAGCAAGATAAAGCGGGGAGAATGGAATACCACTGCATTGGAATATTCACCGGAATGTACAACATCGTAGAAGAAAACCTATCAACAGTAAAACTGGCAGACGATGGTTTAAAACTTCCAACAGTCGAAGAAAACGTTTTTTTAACGATGAAATATTCTAAGAATGGAGCAGTACGAATAACCCCACAAATGGTATCGTTCTTGCAAAAATTATGCGACAATTCCATAGTGAATGTTACTGTACCTAACGAAGTGCGATCTGCCCCACAAATTTATCCACCAAGACAAGAATACTTTCCAAGTATTGGTGCTCCATTGAATGCAGATGACCACTTGTTCTTATGCTCTCTCGGATGGATCGGAGAAGGGTAAGAGTATTAATTTATTTGCTGGCAGAAAATAACGATATTTACCGATCAATTCTGTTTACTATGCATTCTATCTATATTAACAAATACGCTATATTGTTGATGCCAAAGTTGTATCTTTTTTTTTTTTTTTTTTTTTTTTTAAAGTGAAATAAAAAGCACTTCGCAAAATAGCATTTCGTATCTTTTGGGTAGATCGTTATCGATATTTTCTTTAAAAGCTTGCTCTATATAGTAATAATGAATTTGTACATTTTTTCACATGACAGATCATTCTGCGTCAAAGGCGATTTTAAGCTGTCACACGGATGCACTTGGGATGGATTAAAATACAAATGTTCACCGCGCATGCGCAGCAGTGCCTTTAGAACCAATCAACAAACATCGTCAATATTCCAGGAAATTGTTATTCCAGGTTAGTAGGACAAATTTGAACCAACTCGGCCAATATTATACAGTATGATAAATAAAAAATGTGTATTTATCAGATGGAGTGAAGCAAGACTAACTACCTTTTCTTGTCTATGCCTTTGCGCAAATGGAACCGTATGCGTATAATGTAACGATGGTGTAGCAAGAATAAAGATGAACATTCTATTTGATTCAAAAGATCTTGTTGCACACTAACACAAATGTATTATTGTATCGTTTCGTCTGACCGAGGTCTTTCTGTCTTCTTCCTCTTGTCTGAAGAAGTCTGACCTGGGTCAGACGAAACGTTACAGAAATACATTTGTATTAGTGTATACAGGAGGACGCTTAAATCAACCACAAAATTAGTGTTAGTATTTAATTTTATTAGCATTAATTTTGTTTTAACGCGTTCAAACTCCCGTTTCAGGAGACGTCAGACAGCTAGAACTTCGAGGACATAAGATTTCGAATATGATTGAACTGAACTCCGTATTGAGTCGATTGACAATAATTCAAGATTTAATCTTGGACTATAATGATATACAGGTAAGGCGAGATTCGGTTCGTCGGTATGTCGATTTCACTAAAAAGTTGACAATTTTGATTGTTAAGTTGATTCAAAAAAATCGGAACCAGCGACGAGTAGATGAGCCCTGGCAAATGTCAAATCTATCGACACTTTTATTTTAATTTCACAAATATTACTCAACAGAATCTAAAACCATATGATGTGTTAATGTTTGTTTTCTCAAATTTGGATTTTAGTTCTAATAACTGCAATAATACGTATCTTTACTCAAGGTTCTAAAGCCTCCATTGTTTGAGAATAATACCCAACTGCGTATGCTATCGCTCAAGCACAACAAGATTTCAAAGATCCATGGCGACCTCTTCCGGCACAACAAAAATCTACGGCATTTAAACCTCGCGTACAACAGAATAAAAATGCTTCCCCCCGTGCTTCTGCATCGTGCCAAGATTCTGCAATATATCAGCTTGGAGAACAATAAAATCAATTTCATTTCCCCCAGATTTTTCCTTCGGAGCACTCAACTTGAAAAAATTTACATAGGAAATAACAATATTTCGTTTATAGTGCAAAAACTGTTCAAACACCAAAGAACTCTAAAGGAATTGTGGGCAGAGCATAATATAATACAAAAAATAACAAAGTTCATCTTCAAGGAGAGTCCAAAATTATCATTGGTTGACTTTTCCAGTAATAGACTAAAGGCAATTCCAAGGGATGCATTTGATAACAACTTGGATTTGAAATTCGTCAATTTTAACTTCAACAGTATAAAACTAGTACCAAGGCGTCTGTTTTCGAAACAGAAGAAACTTGTATCTGTTTTTATGTCAAAAAATCCAATTCTCGAACCAAATGAAACGAGAGCATACTTCGAGGCGATTGGCGTGCCATATAGCTGAGGAGATTGAAAATGGCCTGGTCTCATGCTGCTTGTATTTGATTCAACAAAGAACCGAAATTGCCGGTCGAAAAAGGCGTAGGTATAATTGGAAAGAAAACGACGAAAACAGGTATACACGGAATAATCAATGAGCAAAATATCTCTTAGTCTTCAATATATTTTTACCAGTTGAATAATCAGTGAGTTGAAAAATAATAAGTCCGTGTTATCACGTTTGTTATCTGTTTTGGCAATTGCCTTTGTTCTCTTACGACCATCGATGTCGCAGGAAATGTATTGTATCTTCCTAGAAAGTGACGTTCTCTAACAATATTGTTTTCGTTTCTAAAAGTGTCATGGTTCGCTTAAATCAATAAATTTCACGTCATATTGAAAATCGCTTATAATGTTTATGAATTTATTCTTCTTAAATATTATAACTTACAATTAAACGCGTACCAAAACTGTTGTACTGCTCAGCATTCAATATTACAAATTTACAGAAATGATCAAATTCTGATCAAAGTCTTCATAAAAATTAGCTCGAAGTTTTGATGTGACCAGACGGTGGCATTATAATTTCATATTATTTGTGTATTTATTTTTGTATTTTCTGTTCAAATGTCCCCATTACTGCTTCAAATTATGTATATTTCCGCATATCACTTTGTTCTCATGTTCCTTAGATCTTTTAGTATCAATAAAATATTGAAAACTAGTATTGCATCCTATTTTTCTCGGGTACTATGAAATATGACGACCTTCTTTTAACGTTAACAATATCACAAAATATTCGGCGTCAATACACGTTAGATCAAAGCTCAACAATTAGGACTTGTCATATCTATGCACAATTGTGTTTTTAGAACTATAGAACCTAACACTGCAACAGAAAAGTTGATGCATAGCGCTTCATCTCAGACTGTCTTCTTCCTAAGTTTAATTGGTACAAACGACAAAGAATAATATACTTATACATTTCAGAGTTAATCGCGGCACATAAAAGAAAATAATGTAACACTGGGAAGCCATTTTAGTCGTGAAAATATTACTACACCACATCTCAAGCACGCACGAGAGCCGGCAATATACCGTGTCAAATTTAATTAATAAAATGGCTTATAAAGTGTTTCTCCTTGTCAATTCCATTCATACTTTACTCTGGCTACAAACCGTTCCAAATTTGAATCATTTATTACTTGCGGTTCCCACTGCTATAAATACCGCAGAATATTATGCATTGATGGAGAGCGCCTGCATCTGCACAAAAACCAATGATCCAATCGCAAGCGACCAAGTGTCAGTCATGTTGCAAATGTATGGTGGTTTCCAAACGCTATTTATTTTTGAAATAAATTCACCCCTTGACATTAGGAAACATTTAGATCAGATACAAACGAAGAAAACCAAATACAATAGCAGAAGCAACTGATAAACTATATAACATATTCAAAAATAAACATGTTCTTCTCGAAACTGTACTAAACTCTGCCTAACATGATAAGTCTGAAATCGTGAATATTTTATTCGTGTGAAAATGAGCTGTGTTTTCGATGCAGACAATGCGAAGATCCCAGCGAAAGTACAATTTGGCATAAGCAACTTGTCATGATAATCAGTCAGTAGTTTATTTTTCAAAAAAAAAATGAAAATACTCTTGGGACGAACATTAAATAGGAAAAAAACATAAAATGGCATTCCAGCGCGAAGGGAGACGTGGAAAACCATCGCTGGTAATCGAGCAGTGACACGCGTGATAAAGTCTAACATTGATACAGGAAGAATTGACACAATATATATTTGAAAAGGTTTACGGAAAACAACAATCGCGATAGATATTGTTTCATAAACTTTGTTTTCATATAAACAGCAAATTTCTCATTTCGTTTTCGACTAGAAATATAATAAACCTAACAGGAGCCAAATTGTAAGTCTACATTGAATGCAGTAATGGAACAGGAAATACTTTAGGATAAACGCAATGATAACACTGGTCATAAACATCACGTGACACTTAAGATAAAAAGCGTGTCTACTAAATTATTCATCACCTTTCTGTTCATTCCTATCCAACAATTACTCGCTGTCAAAGCAGCCAAAGCCCATTTAAAGAAACTGTTAAAAACGTGAAGTAATGCTAATGTTAGAAAAGCATAATTTAAGCTTCTTCAAACATCTAAATAAAATAGTAGTTTAGTCCTATCTCAGCAGTGTGTTGTGAATAAATCAAATCTTATTAACACAATTTATCCGTATTTGAAAAGAACGGTGACATGACAAGATTGCTGAATTACAACTGTAGTGAAAATCGGACAATATATATTACCGCATTTTTTATATATAGTCTACAATGTCGCTTAAGTGGTGCATTGAATATCTTTATTTTGTCAATATTAAACTGAAAGCCGCTATTTGACATATGACTTTATAGCTATCGACAGGCGATATCTGAAGCACAAAAGTATATAAGCGTTTGTCATACAGATACAACTAAAACAACATATAAATAGTAACCAGCAGTATATTATTCTGAAGATGTTTTCTGGGCTTTTCAGAAGTGTGTGTACCAATATGGAGGTAACTGATTTTGTTCGCCTATTTTACATCAAGTTGTGTAAGGGGACAGAAACCTATGGGCAGGGGGTATATTCACATTGCCACCACAGACAGTCCCCGGACTCGTAATAGAACTAAAATAAGGAAAAACGGAATAAAATTCTGGCCTAACCCTATCCTGGTACACACACTAAGGAAGTACCATTTTCTGTATGGACACAGTCTATTACTATCTTTGCAACTTCAGTTTTTAAAAAGGTAACTCACTGCCTGTTCTGAAATGAGTAAGTACTCTGCTCGCTACGAGTCAAAAGAAAAGCTCATCACTTTAATACCAACCACATAATCCTTTCCCAACGATTTCACATCATAAAAGTACTCACAGTTAGCACATTGAAAAAATCATTGTCACCGAGGGTTTCAAGAAGTGTTTTCACGACGTGGGCGGCGATCGACATTTTCAGTCCCATCATACTTCCACTGCCATCGACTAGGATTATCATGTCTTTAGGATACGTTGCCGCTTCGGTGTACCTAGAATCCAATTTGACCTTGTTAGTGTAAATATTATACGTACACATTTGCATGGGTACAGTTTGTCCAGACAGAAAATAATCTACACGTTGAGAAGAATCTGCTAGACTAGAGGGGCGGGTTAAGCGTTCAAAAGCACGATCATTGCAGTGTCCGTGGTTCGATGGTCAATAATTGCATGAAAGATTGTGCGTCAAATTACCGATTCATGACGGGTGATCTGATGTTGTTTTTATTGTATCTTGCATGGTTGTACTGTTTAAGTTTTTATCCTGGGAAGGGTCAATAACAGAACGCACCATAAATCGCTTGAGAGCAGACGTTGCTAGACAGCGCCAGGGTAGGGTCCTTGACGTGTAACGGCGGTCCCCATGTTAGATTCTGAAATCTGTCATGAAAAACGTCAAAAAAACGCTCAAAAACGTCATTCTATTTACAGCCACTGATTGAATAGATGTACTAATAAACTAGCTTCCCAAGTTGAGTGTGAACTGGAGTGAGTGCACTAGTCGTGTTGTTGCTATTTCAATAGGGTGGGGGGCAAAATTATTATCAAATTTTTATACAAATGCTGGACTTTGCTAAAACGCGCCAGTGTGACTTTCTTTAGTCATAGCAGTACTTTCGACCTAGCGTAATTCGAGAAGTCCTAAGGCCTATGTTCGGATATCACACTGGGAATCGGATGCATTGTACATGGCTCCCTATATAAGTTTAACTGATATGTTTTCGGGTGCTGCCTATCATGGACCAAGTATTTCAGCAATCGTAGGTCAGTTAGAACAAGCTGAAAATACTAATATCCTTTTTCGGAACATACCATTCAAATATTGGGGACCCTACATCCAACCATTTGAAGAAATTTTTGTTTCTTTGGAAAAATTATGAAAGATTCAGAAAGACACCGTAACACCAAACTCTGATAGAGATATGCTGGCGTGCAACTTTGACCATCTTCGTGAACTCTTTGCGCATGTTAGTAAAAGTTATTATTTGCGATTAGAATTCAAGTGATAACAAATTAATAGTGTTTGCATGAAACAAATAAAGTTTCAAGACAATAGTTTCCAAAGCCATTTCAATCAACTGTTATTGCATGAGATTAGGCTCTAAAATCTCAGTAAATAGAACACAGAAATCGGTACTTCCGTAGTATGTGAACCAATATGGCGGAAACCGGAACGTAGTGTGTGTACCAGGGTTAGGCCATAATTTCAGGTCCAAATACTACAGGAGTCACTTGGCTAGTCCTCGAACTCGTAATAGAACTAAAATAAGTAAAACTGGAATAAAATTATGGCCTAACCCTAACCTGGTACACATACTACGTTCCGGTGTCCACCATCTTGGTTCACATACTACGGGAGCGCCCAGAAATCTATGTAGCCTCCCAATGGATATTTAGGTCATTTGGTGTCGGGAATCACCGTTGATCATTTATTTTGCAAAGTGAGAAATAGAAGGGAAATAAAATATAATAGATATATCGCACCAGTTTCGATTTCTGCAATCGTATATATTTGGTCGTTCAAATTGTGTCTCCATCTTCCATTGATAACCAGGATAAACCCGTAAAAACCCTTCAGTAGATCCAAAGTATTGCCATTTCAAAGTCGGGTCTTGCTTTGCGTTTGCACGGAACTTTTCATCGAGAGCTTTCGACCAAGATACTCCCCTAACAACGTCGATTCCTACAATAATGATAATCGTTACATTTATAAACATTTTTGCAGTGAAACACGAGTAATGGTTTTTTTACCAGAGTGAATCTCGATTCTCGGGAATATCTCATTTCCTAGTCTGTGTTCAATCATTTTCAGGCTAAATTGGTTTCACACATTTAATTACTTGACTGACTCTCCCCAGTGGGACTGTTAATTATTACATAATTGACATGAAGACCCTCAAAATAACTGAACCTCATTTTCCGTATAATACATAATCGAATATTCACAGTGTATATATTGCCTGCGTCATGTCACGAGTGACGTCATTATTAGAATAAATTTGTTTCAATTTCGAAGACCATTCAGTATCATTATTGAGAAGCACACCGATTATGATCCTCTGAAATGTGGCCCTTAGCGTAAAATAGTCGTACGATGGCCATTCAGTTGCAATGGAACACTATTAACCCTTTGGCATTCGAGTCAACTATTTCAAGCAACAAGACGACTTAATTTAATTACAATTGATCAACATAGGCACGCAAAAACGTAATATCGATTTTCCTTTACGTAAGAATGCAAATAAAGTACATTGCGTTCAACAAATGAAACTAAATTTCAAATTGAAATTTAGACATTAATTTGTGTTTTTACATAGATAAAGGCGGAAAGAAAAAGGGCGATAAGCTTTGAGTATTGACCGATTTCTCATCTGTATGCTTGAGCCAAGGATCAACCCATAATGAACAGATTACTTTAATGGATTAAGCTAATGGTTTTTAATGGATTAAGAGATGTGACACGCAGACATTAATCCAACAGATGGGACCTCGAAATTCTGTGAAAAGAAATGCACCAAACGTCATCGTATAAAATTTGTTGTGTTAATTATGATTACACTTTCTGGGATAAATTTATAAAATGCGGTCTTTCATTAAAAATGTTTTTTACATCGAATGTTGCACTTTTAAATGTTTTATTTTCCGTGTTAGTATCTTGTTTGATTAATTAATAGATTTTACACGTTTTCTCAGAAAATCTCTCTGTATAAAACAAAAACAACAAATCCAGAAATACATTTTAATTAATTACATTCGCGTTGAAACATGTTTTAAGCATGTCATATATGAGATTTACTTCGAAGAACATACCACAACAAACATGTCACATGAAGCATTTCAAAATTATTATTGAGCATTGGAATAATTTGTTTAATCGACGAATAATTTCATAACATGCTGAAACTTTGGCCACCCCCGCAACATATCCATCCATTAACTGTATATTACATTTGCATGGAGACACGGCCGATGTACAGGCATATATTTACTATCTACTGAAATTACTATTTGTAGATCAATTTTTAAAATAATTGGCATGCTTACCGAGCGTTTTCGGGATTCATTTTATATCAAATGACGCCATCCCACTTGCGTGTCATTAAAAATTAGTACCCTAGACATGGCTACCTACCCCACAGAGAATGTTCGGTGAATTGTGCTTTCGGAAGTATAACAAATAAGAACTTTATATTAGCAAGAAAGTTCCACAGAAACTTATTTGGGTTGCACCAACTAATAAGGGGATAGCAACTAATTAAATATCGAACAAGATCCCATAATGTCACAATAAAATAAGAATAATGAAAGGCAAATTAGTCAGCTTGTCTAAAAATAGCTTTCAAGTTTGGTATTCAAGTCCCTTATGTAAACCATGGAAAGAAACATATTCAAATGTTATAACACGCTGCCATGGTTATATCGCGAATATTTTTAGTTGGACGCTTGACAATTTTTTCCGTTTGAGCGACTGCTGAGGGCTGGAGACTTACATTTAATTTCATTAAATGAAATTATCCTGTTTTATATTCAATAATATCCATTAAGTAAATCAGTCCGTAATCAATGATCAATTTCATTAATTATAGGAATACCTCTGAGATTATCATTATGAAAAATATGAAATAAAAATGATCATCAACTGCACAAAAGTCTGTAAGATTTTCTTCTTCTTCAACTATCCTCAGCATTATCAATCAAATTCAAAAAAGTATTAGCTGGATTTCAGTCCAAGTGTCATCGATCTGTTTGTCTTTCAAAAAATTCTGTTATTTGACTTACCTTTGCTGTAAACATCAAAAGGTACTTGAACGACTGACTCGTTTAGATTGATTGGTCGGTTCGAGAATTTCGCATCTTTTACAAGATTCAAATATCTTCTCTGAACTTCGTATTCGGCTAATCAATAGAAAAACGTAAGACTTATATAGGAGACGAGACAGGCCATTTGCAGCTGCAGATAATGTGACAGTCCGGTTTGTAACCGCGGTTCCGACAGTACAATTCAGGGGATTCCACAAGTTTTTATCCAAATATATCAACTATCATATGTATGTTTTTTTAATAAAATCGAATACCACTATTATTAAACTCGCTTATTCTGTTTTGTCAGTATTAGCTTTGCTTTTATATATATTTGAAGTTTGCACAATTCAGACAAAAAAGACAAGTTAAGTACTTCACGGGGGTTCCCCCGAGCCTCGGAAATAAATCATTGGGGTTCCCCTCCACCAAAAGAATTGCTGCTGTACACTTTTATTTAATATGTCATAAAATTAATGAGCCACATTGTTTTCAGAAAAAAATTGAAAACAGAACAAACACGTTAAAACAAAATACAAATAATATTTAAAATACAAAATCTATAAAAGAATATTTAAATATAGTTTTGTGCGTCGCAAAACTTACTTTTATCATCGTCAATCAAGTCTTGTTCATCTTTGTTTAAAAACTCAACGTTATTGTACGGAACTTCTACCGAGTCAGAATCCCAATCGAACGTTTCACTTTCATTCTCCAGAACATCAACAAGACGCTGCAAAAAAGTTTTGTGCTTACTACCATTCAACATACAAGAAGTATAAATTGAATTGAAAGGCAAATTAAGTAATATGCTTTATATGATTATAAGAATTAATATGCTTGAAAATTAGTAAGAGTATAGACCCAAACTGGTCATATTGAGCGGAGTATTCAGAAAGTACAATTATTTGACATTAATAAGGGAGGCTCAACAAAATGTAAGGTAAAATAATTTGAAGTACCATAAGTAAACAGTAAGAAAATTTTTTGATAAAATCATTCACGTCTTTAAAAACAAATCGCAGGCACGGAATAAGTGAACATATTTTGAATATGTTGAGTTATGAATATTGCAACGCTCATGAAATCTATCATGAAAATTACTATGAACAAAAAGAGAAAAAATGTCAAAGACAAAGAAAAATTCATCCTGTCTGTTAAAAAATTTATTTTCAAAAGAATATATCAATCAGTGAAACTTGAAATGTTTCCTGTTAGGGAAGCGTTGATACAATAAACTGAAAATAAAAACGATTTTTTCCTATTTATCCAATCGCTCATCGGAGGCAGAGTGCCAACTCAACAGCAAATTGAGGGGAAAAAATTACTTTTACAGCTCTCTGCTTTTTCCTCAGCATTTTTGCAAGATCAGCTGCCATTTTTTCTGTCATAGCCATTGACTTTTTTTTCGTAACAACGAATTCCTCCCTTCGTTCCCGAGCCTCGTACGTCTTAATGAAAAGAATAAAAAATTACAATTTCGTAAATTAATAAATTGTAAATAAAAAGAGGTTTAAATTATATTGCTTATTCAAGAATATTGAACATATTTCAGAATATTCCATAGTACGAGTATTTCAAAAGTTTTTTGTTCTACTATAGCAAAACAATAGAACCGCCTCTCTGCGTGTCATTCATAGGGATGATATAACTATCTCGAAATATCTCACTTCAAATTCTTTATCCTTCCTATACATGGACTATACGCGATTACCTTAGTTTTCAACTGCATTGGCCAACTTAGGCCCGCTCATTCACCGACTATAACCTATAATATTTATAGTATATATAGCGTCTAAGTGAGGGTTTGTTTATGGCGAAACTATTAATAACAAAAAGTGTTTCACGCGAAGAGCTGTTCGTATTCATAGAGCTTGTAGTCAACTTTGGTTTGTTGATGTGTTTAGGATAGGATTGAAACGATATGCAAACGGTTGGACCAAGTTGGAAAAATCGGATTTGTGACAAAAATTTATGGTTGACTCATACTGTTTTATAGCAAGAAGATGCCAATCGATGATAATCACTTAAATAAAATAAAAAATTAATTTATCTTGTCAAATGACCAGAATTAGAAATACTACAAAAATCTAAGTCAACGAGTAAACTTACCGCTAACATAACTTCATATCCACTGAATAATCCAACATTTCCAGCCATTTTACATCCGAAACTTGTTGCTAATTGCGTATTGCTGTGAAAAGATAGAAATATTCTTTAGATCTTACGAATATCTAGATTGAGGGCTTCAACTCAAAATAGAGAAACTTTTCTCTTCAATTTCATAGAAAAAACTATTTTGAGAAAATGACGACTACATTTTTTTGATTTTTAAACTTCTCTAACTTTGTATTGGAATACTTTGGTGGATATCTCTTCAAAATTAGGAAATCAGCTTAAAAGATCAAAAATTTAACATATGCCTTTTTGTCTTGAAGCCTTCGTAATTTTAAATTTGCTCAAACGCAAATAATAATAAGCATGAACGACTAACAATGGAATATTCGTATAAATTTATATTGTGATTTTTGTATAGAATACGACAATTGTCGAATATTCAACACAAGAGGCCAGGTGCAAACAAATTTGAAATAACTCTCGATTTTGCACGAAAAAATGCGTTTCTTGGTATAGTTGAATTATGTATATCTGAGGAAGTCTGACCTTAGTCAGACGAAATGTTACAGAAATATATTTGTTAGTGTACACTGTACAGCGAGATTCTTGAATCACTTAGAATAGCTTTATCAATCTTGCTATAGATTATATGGATTCACGGGCACAAATGCATAGAAGAAGGGATGAGTAGCTAGTCCCACAGAAAACCCTATTAATAACGTAATTGTTTCAAATCCTTGATTTTTTAATATTTCCCATATCTCCAAAAACTCATGCTCTCGAAAAGTAATAAAAACCGCGGCCATGCTTATGAATAAGTACGCTTATTAAAGAATATATATCCTTGAGATCTTTTGGCACCCGAATTGTTGTATTTAAATAAAGTGGAACCAAAATTTAACAATGCATTACAAAACATAGAATATGGAGACAATAATATACAGTATATGGATTTTATTAATAATGAAGCAGATAATGTCAATTTATATGCACGATAACAATCCGACATAGCTCAACAATAAAAGCATTCCAAAAATATGAGATTGTCACCCTAAAATAAATGGGACGGCTGTAGTGTAATATTACAAATAATCATCACTTAAAATCATTAAGATTATCCAATGTTAACACAGTGAGTACATATTATGAAATCCAGCTTCGCATTTGAGTTGGGAAGTTTGCGTGGATTGGTGGTGTTATCATAGTATTACCCAAAATATACTGTGATGGTTTTTTCCATATTGGCATGCATATTCATCGATTATCATTTATTGAATATAATACAATAAAACTGTAAGATGAAATTCTAAACAAAGACGAAGCGCGCCATCCAGGTCATTTTCAGTATGTTATCATTACCATCTGTCTAATAACATGAGTTGAGTCGAAATTACACACAGAAAGGCAACATATTTACCAATTCTTCTAATAGAGAATGTATTTCAATAATGGTTTTGTATTTCATTGATGTATTTTGTATATCTATTGTCTGTTACGCTGATATTAAGAGCAGTCTGCTTGCTATTATGCGGCTTTTATCTCATAGAAAATCGAACAATGTGTCTCATACAAATCAATATATGGCAAATTAAACCCTTTAAGAAGCTTTGATTTGTCTTTAATTTTTAGGGATCGCATAAACTGTGGACTTTCATATATATAGTAATTAAGACGAGTGCAATCCTTTAATTATTTCTAAAAAATGATCAAGTACATCTTTGCTCAATATTTTTGTAAACAATTGACATCCGTGCACAGGTAAAAAAAATTTGATGAAACTAAGCAAAATACACAGATAATTTGAAACCAACTGCATCACACGCAGTGCTGAAAGATCATAGTATGAAATATAAATTATCTCTGCGGCTAACGATACATCATGTATGAGTGGTCTTCAGATACTAGCGAGTATTTTCCCTCACCATGGAGGATTGGTGACCCTAGTCAGAACAGAGTCGCAAAGGGAAAAACTTACATTACTAACAATTGAGTATTTGGGTGTGTTGATCAAATTCATTGTAATTGAGAATAAATCTTGTTTTGAATAGTCATGAATAATTAATGAACGGTCTTCGCTCCCTTCAATCACTTTCCAGAAAAATTGGAAGAAAACTTCAAAAGCATAATGTAAAGGGATTGTGAAATAATCACAGCTATTTGACCAGGAACGCAATCTTCCAGAGCGTTATCACACCGCAGATAGCCTCACTCTTACTTTTGGAATTGGTGCCGGTTTGCTTTGCAATATTCATGTATATCATAAAAAAGCACAATTACTTTTCGATGACCAGGATTAAAACAAAACAATATTATTATTCATATGGGAGTTCGCACATGGAGAGCGTTAGGCACATGTCGTTCAAAAGTATCTCAAAACGATACGTTGGAAATATTGCGAATTGTTTGACATTTTGATCATCGTATATTAGAATACTGTACTACCTAAAAGTCAAGACTCAATGAAAAAAAATCACATCTTTATATTACACATCTTTATATTTTCAGTAAATTACAACTTACCCTTTCAAGTTGAGAGTAACTTGTCCAAGTGAGAGCTCAAAATATCCAAATTGTAGATGCAACCCGAGGCAGAATACGATTCCATATCCTTTCATGTTGGTATAAATAAATCCAATTGGCACTTTTCGTATTGTTTGAAATAAATCTAATGAACAAACGTTATATGTCGCTCTTCCTTTTATACATTACGCTGTAAAATATCAATACTTGACTTACGGACATCTGAGTCTAAAAATCTAATATAAAGAAAGGGGGAATTGGGAAGAAATACTAAATATTTGTATCCTACCTTCGGTAAGTTACATTAAAACAGATTTTGACGTCCTAACGCCGGGTGGTCCAAACACAGGCCCGCGGGCCACATGTGGCCCGCCGCTTCATTATCTGTGGCCTGCTTGACATTCGGAGAGGAATCAAAAAATCGCATTTCGCGGTATTTCGTCACAAAATTACCCAGGAAAATCGTTTGACATATTTTCACATCACTAATGTCACTGAATTGACTGTGTTATGGCTAACTGAGGCAACCAGTCAAGTTGAATGATTTGCTTGGCAATCTCAATTGTTCAAGTTTGAAATCTTACACTATATGAAGATGTAGAAGAACTTTTGCACGTTTTCGTAAGTTTTTTTGGTGGTTTTTACATGGGTTAGCATGATAAATGACAGATACTGATCAATTTGTTTGCACAATAGAAGTGTTCGTTTTGTATTGCACTGTTTACCTATTCTTGGCGCTATTGTAGCCCGCGAACAATTCAAAAATAATTTTGTGGCCCCTGGAGCCGACAACCTTGGACCACCCTGTAGGACTTAACTTATTCCAAATGGGCCCACAATTTATTTTCGTGGATTTGAAAAAAATGTATTAAGGTCAAATACAATATACAGACTCGTTCGCGTCATTGAAACAAGGAAAATTGAGAAACATTCTATTCAATATGCGACATCTAGATAATTTAAAAGGAAACTTTTTTAAGTTTATAGTCTTAATTTCACTAGAACACTTGCTCTCACTTGTTTCTCATTCTCATGCAAAACAAAACTAAACATGGTTTCTCTTATTCCTCGCCTGTTTCTTGCTAAACTTGCGTCATTGTTTACTCAAAGCTAAAATGTTCTGTCTAAACATAAATTACAATCTGTCAAACACAGGAAATTCACCTAAAACAAAGTAGCGATCCAGTCGATTATTCGTCGCAAATTTTTTCAGTTTCTTTTTCCAAAGTTTGTTACTCTCATGAGCTTTTCTGGAATACCACCATAATCGGAAATCGATTTGACGCACACGAAACCACATAGGAACAGTAAAACTACCGTAGCGAATTAAAAATGATTCTAAAGAGTCGTAAATTTTGTCACGCCAGTAATAGATGATCGAATGGAACTGAAATGCTGCGAAAACAACATATGTTAGCACTTATCTAATTTTACGCGTGTGCCAAATGTAAAAGAAGATTAGGTCCAAGAGCTTTTTTACATTCAATGCGTTTGATGAGATTAAAAATGATAAAAATCAATTTCCAGCTTTGCTATAAAATGATGAGATTCCAAATCCAGCCCTAATCTATTATAGCAATTGTATATCATCGTTTAGTTTCAATTTTCATATGTTCATTTTTTTGCAATTCAAAATAAAACATTTTGATACGTTTTGTTTTCTTCGAACTTTACATATGCTCACTGCAATGAAAACTGAACAAATATTACAAACGATTTTTCCCAAAAAAATATACTAAATCGGAAGGAACATTTGTCATAGAAACCTCTTCCCCATAAACTTAATTCACTTCAAATAGGAACTTTAAAAATACAACTTTCGACCGAAGACGTGCGCAGTAATCAACATGACAACCATTTCATTGAGCACGAGTCAACGTTTAGGGAAATCAATAATAGTTCGATCGACACCCAAGTCATAAGCCGGTCGCGGTCCACTAAGGCGATTGGATAACATCGATTTCTGTCTATCACTTCAACTATTATCTTGTCTTAAAAAACGTAAACTTGTAATAAAGGTAAAATGTGTTCTTGCTGGCAATTTTTGTCCTCTTTGGAAACGAGAGATAAGTAGACTCAATAAAATTAATTGTTAGAATTGTGCTTTAAAAGAAACAAGATTGCGCAGACGCTGAAAGTAAAGCAAATTAAATATCTTCCAGGGAAACAAGCTAATGCCCAAAATGTGTTAATTCGACAATACAAGACTGTTATTCTCGACACTTTTGAGGTACTGTATATGACACGAACTTACTCAAAATGTAATCTATTTTCTGAAATATCGAACAGAATTTTCATATTACGCGGACATCCTGTGGGATCTGAAGCTTTTACTAAGACAGATAGAACTCAGAAATCCTCTGATACCTGAATAGTTAATTAAAGTTATACAAGACGCGAGTTAACAAAAACTTAAAGAGCTAGATTATGCAATCCTATCTCACAATCTTAAACACGTCATTAGCACCTCTTTCCATTTAAGATATCTATTTGTTGCAATTCGCACAGCTGCAGCTGCACAGCTGTGTAATTCGCGCAAATGTCAGTATTATTGTGTCATACCAATAAAGGTCTTGCAGTATGACTTACGACAGTGAGCAAGTCGAAAGAGTAAGTCGATGTGGTATTTGTCGAATATTTTCGTCACACTTTTCTGCACAGTTCAAATGCTGTCGTCTCAAGAATCCTTTGTAGTGTAAATACTTTCGGCGACGCCCGAATAATATATTACTTCTCCGTTTAATAGCATTGAACCATCAGTAACTTGCATACATAATGTACAACGTTACATAATTAATTCATAACGCGGAGTACCCATGTGTTCTTATTCGAAGCCCTGTTTGAAAATTATTTGTTAGAACTAATCCTTCCGCGACGTGAGACGGATGGCTTTCCTGGAATAGCATTGGTCTAATACGCTAATTGCTATTAAAACTTTTTAAACTAAATCCATTTGTTATGCATAATTCACATTAGTGGTCACCAAAGGAATGATGAAATTTAAAAGCAGGAAGCGACCGAATAATGCAGTTTACTTTCATATCTTGAACTGAAATATTATTGCCTCATATACATATAGAGAACAACACTGTTTAACAGTTCGTTTTTCAATCTGAAGCTATTACTTGATTCGCAAAACTAGTTCCAGTGAAACCTGAATCGTAAGAACTCGTCGTAACAACCCTTCGTTATTGTTGAGTAATTCGTCGATGAAAATCGATTATACTGTTTCATCGCTAATGCAACATTGGTATGACATAATCAATAAATTGTAACAAAGGTCAATGTCAGAAGTTTTTTATGTCACCGAAAATAAGTTACCAAGAGAAAAGTTCTATTACTTTGCGAACGAATCGATAGCCTATGCCTTCTTGTCTATATTTATTAATTGAACCGAAATAAATTTCCGAAAGTTTTGTCTACTTCCTTCACTTCATTTGAAAGAGAGTGGAAACACCATGCCATGAGCATTTTCGGTAAGTTTTCAAAATACACCGAAAGCAAGAGAGCTATGCTCAAATATATGGACACGTAGCGCCAAATAATTTTGATGACGTCATAGCAAAAAATAAAAGTAATATCCTTCTGGAGAAAATTTCCATCTTTAACCACTGAAAATTTCAAAGCAGTTGGTCCAGTAATCAAAGAGAAAAGCGATTTCTTCAAAACGATACAAGGAACAAGAACATCATAACAACAAAATGATCGTTATGACCAGTGGCGGGATTCAAATTTTTTGTCAGCCGGTTCCTCCACAAAAGTCATATTTTTCAGCCGGTTCTGTTACAAACAGAACATTGGCAGTAACCGATAATGCTAATCGGTTCGCTGATCTCATAAAATTCCTTAAGACAGTTTATAGAACAGGTGCGAACCAGCTGAATCCCACCACTGGTTATGTCCACTACGTGTCCAATAAGACAAAAACAGTTTAGTTTCGCAGAAACTTGGATTACGTAATGCCAGTTCGGTCGCATAGTTACTAATGTTAAACTTCACCTTACAGTCAACAATGTAAGAAAAATAATTTAACCTCAAGCTCAAATGATTTAATCTTGAAAGCACAAAATTGTGAATGATTAAAAATATCAATTTCATAAATTTAAGCTCAAATGTTTTATGGCCGTTATCGAACCATTTCGATATCTTCCTCATAAGAACTGGCGATTGATGAGTCTCCAGCCTGCGCCCAAAAAAAAATTTGAAAACGCGATTTGCTGCACAGGGTCTTCAAATCGATTGAATAATAAAGTAATCTATTCCGACTGATATGATCCTTTCGGTCATGCTAAATATGAGGTTACAAAATATTTCATAACAAGACATTCCAGATAGAAAACTAGACGTAAACACCACTACGCCGCTGGCTTACTTTGTCTACTTGTCTCACTCATTAAAACTTTTCTCGAACGCCAACCACCTCTTTTGTACCGGGAATTTTTTTGGCGTACTGAGAGAAATATCGTCAGAGCTTTTTGAAACCTGACAAGTTTTGAATATGCCATAAATTAATCTCTTTGACTGACTAGTTTGTGGATTAGGGAGGTAGGTTTAAAGTCTGCTCACGCATGCCTATTTTGGCGCTCCAGAAGTGTGTGTACCAATATGGAGGTAACTAATTTTGTTCGCCTACCTACTTTACATATTATGTAAAGGGACTGAAACCTATGGGCAGGAGGTATATTCACTTGCCTAACACAGTCAGTGCCCGAACTCGTAATAGAACTAAAATAAGGAAAATCGGATTAAAATTATGGCCCAACCCTAACCTGGTACACATACTACGGGAGTACCGAAATGCCAGTCGTTTACCAATATTAATTCAAATTTGGCGTACTGAGCGAAATATCATCTATCGAACGGAAACTTTTTGAAACCTGACAGGTTTTGAATATGCTATAAATTAATCTTTTTGGCTGTCTAGTTTGTGGATTAGGGAGGTAGGTATAAAGTCTACACATACATGTTCATTTTAACGGTAGGAAACCCGCGTCTTACTCATGAACAATTCCCCCGTGGTGTCCCAACAAATTGGGACAAAGTTAGTACAAAACCACGAATCTATTCGAGTGTATACATATACGAGATATACCAAGGTTTGTCAGAATTTTTTTAACATGTGTTTAGCGGAATCGAAATACCACCGATACTTTTCGCTAGCATTAGGCCACCCTAGGAATACGAGAAGATTTGATACGGATCCAGCAAATATATATATCAGATAAATATTAGCAAAACTACTTTCGGACAGGTAATCAAGCAAAGTCTATTTGATATTTTGTCAAGATTAGGTTCGTGTCGGAGGATTTGAATATTTGCAATTGATGTTGTGACAAAGATATTTCTCCCACGGCTTATGTGTCGCGTATTTCTATTTTTTTTTTCAATTATTAATTTCAAGTGAGTTAGTTGCTCAGTTTCAGTGTTTGTTCAACGTGCAAATAAAAAACTTATAGAAAGTGAATGTTTCCTGCTTAATTTGTGGCTACAGGATTCCAATTAGTGATAAAAACCTATTTTTTACAGATTTTTCTATTCTATTACTTATTATCAAAACATCAGTAGTGACCAAAGACAGTGATAACTACGCCAAACACTCGGAGGTGCTGTTAATTTATTTTGCTCATTCGACTAACCACTGGTCTAATATCTTAACTGTGTCTTACTCATACTTCAACGCGGTTTACTGCAAAATAACAAATGAAAGCATCAGTATTCTTGCCACGCAATTATTCATCGTTGGGGAACTGAAGTATATATATATATACCAGTGGTGGGATTCAAATTTTTGTTACATGTTTTTTTAGTAATGCTAACCGGTTCGCTGATCTCATGAAATTCCGTGAGACGGTTCCATAGAACCGTTGCGAACCGGCTGAATCCCACCACTGATATATACCCAAAATAATACTTATCTGGATCCGCAGTGACTGCGTTTCTTCACTTTAAATTATTGGTCATGTCAACCAAACCTGCCCAAGTTAATTGTCAGTCGCGAAGGATTTATCTGTCTCGAGCTTTTATATACGATATTGTCTTATAGTACCCTAGTATTAGTCTCACTGCGTATGTGGAGCTAATTTTAGTAAATTCTGCTAGCTCTCGCCTCATAGATACTCGTTAATCGCAAGACAGCGTCTCACTGATGACGATGTCTCTGAGTCCTTTCTTAAGTTTTTTCGTTTCACAGAACCTAATGAATAATTCAAGCAGCCTTTCTGACGGAAGCGGGATCACGCACGGTGTCGTCAAACAAAAACCGATTGTGACTCCACAATGATCTTTATTAAATTGCGTTGTGAATAAACCCGCACCGTGATCAGCGACAACAAAATTTGTATTTCGAATGAAAACGGGTTTGGACAATTTGTTTTCTGGCTAGACAAGAAAACGGGATTTTACATGATGCTCGGTCTGTAATAGGGAAAAGTTAGAAGTGAAGTGATGGTGTCGTCAAATCATTATTTCTTAAGTTCGAACATAACTCTCACAATACCCATTTAATATCTATATTGTAACAGATTTTAACGCACTCGTTCATTGGCATACAATTCGTAAAACGAAGAATATTACATAGCCTAATTGTCTGTATGAACCTGACGGTCACTGACGTTAATTTCCGTCGTCGCCCGACCAGAGAATCCACACGACATAAGAAAACACATATCGCAAGATTGGAAAATTTTAAGTTCATTATTTATGCACGTTAATTACCGCGTCTAAAAAATCTCAGTAACGTAGTCAAAATCTCGAAGTAAAAAGTTAAACGTAAGGCTAGTGAGTTTATTTCGTGCATCATGATATGCGCTGAGAATGCTTGTCATTGTAAAACTGATTTGGCCGTATCCTGGAGTTTGCAGATTTGAATCCCGCGAATGATAAATATGTGAGAAGTGAATTGCACCTGCATACCATTCCACCTATGGATTTTTTTACGGATATTTGAACCCATACTAACCCTAACCAATGGATTTTAGCACCCGCATATAGATTAAACCCGCGGATATACCGGTGCGAATGTATGGGTACAAATGCACGGTCACCATCAAACAGTGCTCCTGAGTCTCTCTAAATGAGGGGTTATCAAACTGTGAAACACAGTACAGGGTAGTCTAGGCCCTCATCATCATCATCTGGGGACCTCGTGGCATTTACTGGAGGGTAATAAATAATGGCATTTGGTGTCGTTTCGTCATACAAAATCTCTTGACATGTAACATAACAAATGCTATTGAATTGAGACATGCAGCGAAGTTGAATAGTGTGCCTGGCTAGCCTGAACTGTTAATTATCTTTTAATCTTTTTGACCGGGAATATCCGCTAACAATATCCCAATGGGCTTCATGAAAAACTAAAAATTGAACGAGGATCTATTCGTCTATAGCGGGTGTTCTCAATCTTTTTTCTGTCAAGTACCCCCTGAGCAGTATGTTCCCCAGCTTTTCCATTTAGGGGGGGTGTTTCGAAATTTGGGGGGTGGTAAATAATTTGCTATTTGAGATAAAACTAGGCTATCTGTATTCTTAAAAAAATGGTATGTATTTAAGAAACGATGTACAAGAGGGGCCCCCCAAGTTGATTGACGGCGAGCCAAAATCCACAGCAGAATAAAATTGTAGGGCCAGAATTGGACAGCGAGGAAAAGTGCGGGACGGCACGGCTGGGGTTCAGGGCGCGCCCTAGCGCCCTGGGAAAATTTTGAGAAATAGGCACCAAAATAGGCTCTAAGCTTGATTTTAGATACACCTAGCATCGCAGTTTGTTATGTAATGAAATCAATAAATATAATATTTAGCTGATAGAACTCCCGGGAAATAGATAATAAAGCAAGGCTTTCAACCGTAACTATATACTACTAGGTTTCAACAAGTAATTTGCAACTGATAGTGACTAATGAAGTTACTAGCTCATCTGGCATTGTATGAATGGATACTTATGGCTTGTTTTGTTACACATTTCACATTTTTTTGAACATGTTTGTTTGACTTTTGTATGAATTATGCAATGAATTAAATTTTGAAATACGCGCGTCAACTGATCATAATGGCGCATAATGTTGTATTCCTTCAGAACTGAAATATTTTGTTGGTAAGAAGACAAATCGCTGAAATTTGATTCTTTTCAATAAAAAAATAAAAACGCTGTCATTCATCTAAAAAACGTCTGTTTTCGGTGCCTAGTTTTCGTTTTGTGACATTATTAAGCTTTCCTAATATACGGCTGATATCTAAAATACTGCAGTGTGTAATCCTAATACCCATATGTATACATAAGATACCGATATAATTCAATTGTTACGAAATAAACGTCCTTAAACTGTGATAATGATGTAACAATAGACGGTATCTAAAACTCAAAAGGTACCAAATGAAGGGTTGAACTATTTATTTCACTCAAGTTCGGCGGGCCATTTTAAATCGTCACGCGAGCCGTAATTGGCGCGCAGACTGCGGTTTGGAACCCCTCATTTACACTGATGAATATGCCATAGGCGTTATATTTGAATACAATTATACTTGAGTTAGGAATTACAGTGTGGAATCTCACCTCAAAATTAGGGGGGGTGTTTGAAATTTTAGGGGGGGTGTTCACCCCCTATAGAGGGGGTGTAGGGAAATCACTGCCCCTGAGTCCCGAAACAATCAACGCGAACCCCCGGTAATCACTCTAATCAGACACCGAACAAAGTTGTGATATATTGACTAACATTTTTTTGCAACAATAATTCAGTGACCAGATGTAACTAAATTAAATCTTCGTTTTAATATTATTGCCCTTGTCCTTCGCCTAACTAATGAATTTTTAAAAATATCTCCCAAGTTTTTAAGAGCATAATCACTTTCTCCAATGCTCGCAGCAAGCTGTCTTTAGACATTTGACAGTTTGCCTACAAAGCTGTGAATTTGCGCCAAAATCACAACAACGCAGTATTTGAAGAGAAAAGTGATTTTATAATGATGATGAACAAGAACAACAACATAATATTAAAACGATCGTTATGTCCACCGACATGTCCAATATTAGTCAAATTATTGACTGTGCCAATACTATGGGTCTGTGACACTGGCATCGACATGTTCGAAAATAAATCGCATCATAGTTTCCAAATCTTTAGATTCTACGTTCAAGTTTGGGTGAAAAGAAAGTTTAACCGAACGGAGATCTCAAGAGAAAATTTTAAACCTGGGGTAGAACTCTCTCTCGGTTGGGAAACGTTGGGCCATAAATGTTTTTTAATGCTCCTGAAGTATGTGCACTAAGATGTCGCATAACCTGAACCCTGACCTGGTACACAACCTGAGTTCAGGTTGTGCGCCATCTTGGTGCGCATACACCATGAGGTTTTTTCTAATTATTAATGGGAACATCACATTATGTAAACACAATATTACATAATACATTTATATAAACACAATACCAATTGCATTTCAGAAAAACGAGCACATAATAGTTTTCCACTTCTTTTTATGGATTGACAGTTTACCATTTTTAGCTGCAATAATCTTTTCACAGTTTATATTATTTTTTATCATATATAAAAATTGGCAAACTTGAGGCTTTTCCTTACGCAGTTTGCATTTGTATATAAAATATCTGGCACACAATAAAACACAATTTTAAATCTTACAATATCATGCATTGTCTCTGGTTGTGCAAAACTGAACCAAGGTGAAAAGATGACGTAGCCAGGTTATTTCAAGCGGTTCCACGACATGAGTTCGTGTTTTTGCTGAAACAGTTCTTGGTTTTCGATGCTGTCTTGTATGTTCAGATGTTCGTGGTTTCGGGCTCGGTGGAACGTCTACTGGTCTAGGTCAGTTTGTATCGGTGTATTCGATTAGATTTTTTGTTATCGTATTATACGGTATTGATGAGACGACTGGGTTGAGGAAAAGAAAAGTGAGATTTAACTGAAATGGAGATTATTCCTATCTTCTGTATTACTTTGATTTCAACTTTTCAAGTCATTGAAGGAAAATCGAAGCCTATTATTGCCAGCTTGAATGCTAAATGGAAGTTCACACCACTTGCTTTGGAAGCCAGGTTCGTTTATTTGTGACATATTTCAGTATTCCAATATTGTTAGATTGTTCGTTATTGCTGTGCTGTGCCTACTTTGCTACATCTCACTGCCAGTTGAAAGTCATATTGGTATTTGTGTCTATTTTTTAATCATATCCGCATGTAGCTCGATATTTTACATATGGCTGTATGGAGCTAAGCATATCAAATATCTGAATATGTTCATTGCCATACCTAATTCTGTACTTTAGTACTTACGCAGTACTGTGTGGGATCGAAGTATCCAAATCATTTCTTAAATATGCCAAGAGGATTGCAAGAATATTTTCTTAGTATTTCACTGCTAAACACGCAGTTATTTGGAAGGATTGCTTCTTAGCAATCAACATGTGTCACACATCGGTCGTCCTGTTTTGCTATGTCTGTGTATTCGCATTGTTTTGTAACATTTGCAATAGCAATAGTACAACAGTGATAAGGCCTGTCCTACATTATTGACTAATGACATGACAAAAGATTTATTAAGCTATTTTCCTTTTATGCCTATCTTCAGGTCTCCCAAAGTACACGCCACAAGTAATTCTAGTTGGCCTGGCTCAATAATTTTTGCATATGTCATTCCTAACCCTCTCCTGACTATGTCATCCAAAATTGAGGCCCTCAAATCATATGAACGATCGCCTAAAATGCACAGATGATCATCCGGAATCGAGCAAACTATTTCTCTCGTTTTCTCATCGTAACATTACTGATAAGAGAGACATCGCTGGCATTAGTCAGTTCATTGTAGTTGACACAGATGCTTTTCGGACTATCGTAGCTATACTTTGTCAAGCTCTCTGACATGATTGTGACATCAGAGTATTATTAGGAATATTATATGCAAAAATCATTTCACTAAGCCCACTAGAAGTACTTGTAGGCGCTTACTTCAGGAAAACCCTAATCTTCTTGTCTAAATATGCGATTTTTCAATTTTAGTGAGTTTATGGCAGAGGAGGGAGAACATTATTTTTGGAAGTTTGTTGATGAGATGGTGTCAACTGACTCAGAGATTCAAGCTGAACTTACTCAAAGAAAATTGTATGAGTGGTCAATCGAAGGAGCAAACAATGTGCTTGGCACTACAGCAGATTCACAAAGAATCAAATTATTGAAATTTGCACTTTCGTTGCGAACCTATTCTCCAAAAATTGAAATGTTTAATCAGGTTTACATTCTATTGAACGTTAATAACTTATTGACATATAGCGATGTATAACTAGTTCTAAATTTAGTACAATTAGTATAAATTTGAAGTCATCATTTTATAACATGATATTTTGGATTTGTTTATACCAATTCCTATATCCCCGTAGTAAAAATCGATAATTTCCGGCATAAATTGTGTTCAAGTTTGTTAATCTTTCCAGTATATCAATTTTGTATGAAAATTGGTGAATTCAAGGCCACCTTGCAATGCTTAAAAATGAATTGAAAGTTGATAATGTGTCCTACCGTGAAAATGATGATTTTGAAGTGAAAAAAAAATATATCAACCAAAAAAATATCCTGTTTTGAACCCAATGCCATCAATTGAGTATCAAAACTAAACCTACATAACATACTCAAATCTACATATACACCAAACTTTTGTTTGGACAAAAATTGTTATTTTGATTGAAATTGATTGCCCAGAGAAGCCTAATTTTACCTAACATTACCGAATTTCTAAATTTATCTAACAATGAAACAATATTTGCATGATGAATGAAGTCTTCAAAATAAAAACAGCTTTCTACTTTTTCTAAAAACATTAATTTTGTCTACCTTTTTCTAGCTTGCGCTCGATGCCCCTGCTCCTACCTGCGATGAGTTTTTTGAAGTAAGAGGTCAAGTAACATGTTCTTGGACAGAAATGAAAAAAGCAATAGAAAATAAAAAAGGAGATTCTCCTATTTTGTATAAACAAGATCATATTTATCCAGGTAGGCGTTATTGTAATCAGACAAGCAGTTTGTCTCATGTTGTTCTACTAAAATGGAGATATGTAGGCTACTGATTTAATTATTTATCACGTTATTGGATTGAAATATGAAATCATTACTGATCTAGATGTAGATAATCTTGATGATCTTAAACTCTTTATATATATCTGAATGTACTTTAAATAGTCACTGATCCTAATTTTGTGCATAATTGGGATTTATTGTTTAGTGTGCTAATCTTCATGGAGTGAACCATTATTGTGACTGTAGACATGTAATGATAGATATTATGCCATTCAGATTGGTTGTTAAAGTCCATCCTGCGAAATTCTTTATGTCAGTGATGTATTTATACCAGGTTCCCAAGCCAGTTTCAATGATACTGTTATCTTGTATGCGAACTTCATGTCGCTAACAATGCCAGATCTCCATGATAGACTTGCTAAAATGGCTGAAAAACATCAGATACAATACGTCCTTAGACATTGGATCCGAGCAAGACCAGAAGGCCCTGTGAAACTTTCAGGTAAGCATTAGAAAAGGGAAAAAAGAAACACTAAAAATTATTCGAGTACGGTATATATTAAATTTTCATTCGTGAAATAAAATTCGTATCCATAGTAAAATAACATTTGTTGCAATATGTTAGTTTTTTGTTGTTTTATTTTCACTTTTTTCTTCTCAGGATATGGCGTTGAACTTGCTCTGAAAAAAACTGAATATAAAGCTGTGGATGATAGTGAAGTCAAGGGTGAGAGAGTTATTGTTGTTTATATTTGCTTTATGTGACCCTACAACAAAATTTACACAGTGGGTGTTATAACATGTTGAATCATTTTCTTTCTTGACTGGATTCTTACTTTACTGTAGTTTTATTTTATTGGAGTGCGTTGGTTATCAGAATTTAGAAGAAATGATTAATAAAAAATGAAATCAAATATATGGGTGGCCTATCTAGAGAAGCTGAAAAATGTCTCAAGAATTAGGTTATATGTACTTTGAAGTAATATAATGGTTTTGGGTAGTCATGATTAGAGCTCGACCGATATCACTTTTTGACGGCGATACCGATATATCGGCCAGCTGGTGGCCGGTAACCGATATCGCAATGCCGATATTAATATGAATCATATTTCGAGCCACGCTTTTATGATGCACTTTGTAAGTCTGTAGTTTCATTTTGATATTTGTTATCATGGCAGTAAGACTTTTATTTAACTAACTTCAGTTAATGCTCGAACAAATGTTATTCTGCAACTTTTCCTGCTACTTCAATATTAGTCTAGCTATTTCCAGGAAAAAGAATTGTTAATCAGACCTTTTTAAATATAACTAAGGACATATGTTAAGGGTATTAAAAAATTATAAATTGATATATTTTAAAGTGAATCGTGATAATGATCCTTTGATATTGTGATAGCATATGTGCAGTTACATGTGAAATTTTTAGTAACTTTGTTTCCAGAGACTCTCAATACCTTATTTAGTCAGTAATAATGGATTAAGTTTTTATTTTGTAATTTTCAGCAAAATGATAAACAACCATCAATCAATATAGACAAAACCGTTCCCCCAGAAATTCAAAATTGAATTTGGGGAGGTCACAAATTCAGAACTGACACTATTGCTTTGAGCTACCTGCATCATGTTTCTATGATTACTAACTCACCAGCTTCCAATCGATTCTATCTATAGAACCACCGTTTAATGCTGTTACTAAATTTGCATTTTTCTCATTGTGTACTCTCTCAAAAACGTCACTTTATAAAACGTCATTGTTACTCCAGATAATATCTTTTCAGTTATGACCATGCATGAAATGGCTAATCATAAGACACCGGGAATTAGGAGAGACACCGTATATCGGTTGGCCGATATATCGGTCGAGCTCTAGACTCATGATTTTATTCCGTGAAATAGAAGGAAATAAGATCTCTTCAATTACTTCTTTCAATTATTTAGTTACACAATATTTGATGGAATATTCGTACAAATTTTAGTATTTTTCTGTTTTTTATCATTACTCCTTTCACATTTAACATATTTACAGATGATTCTGGCAAACCAGTTAATGAAGAGGAACAAGATGAAGAAATTGAAGGTTTCGATTTCAAGAAATTACGAAAACTTCACCCTGACCTTTCACCTCAGCTGACTGACTTCCGTAATCATCTCCAAGAATCGACCAATGAAATGATGCCGATGAAAGCATGGCAACTACAGGATTTAAGTTTTCAGGTTACTATTTTATTGACCTCAGATTGGGCTGGGATTGGATATTTTTAGCTAGCTGACCACTTATTACAAGACATGTAACAGAAAGTATGGAAATTGAATTGTAAGATTGTACTGGCGTTTCAAATGCTTCTGGTACTTGGACGTCTTTTTTTTTGGTTATTCTCCATGCCAATGGTTTTCAACTTTTTGTGTGGCGGAAACTCAAGGAAACATTGCAAAGGCTCAAGGAACCTCTGTGCAATTGATTATATGTGGATTTGATTACATTTATTATAATAAAATATGCCACGAAGCACTAGTGAAAACTCTTAATATATAATTATATTATATTCGTGTATGTGATTATTTTTAAACAATTTGCATATAATGATATAGAATCTTGGATTTGAATGTATAGTTGCGTAACCTCTGGGCTGTGCTGATATAACTCTAGTTGAAAACCACTTCACTGCATTGATTTTAACCATTTAATGACATTGAAATACTTTTCTCGCATGTTTTATAGTTTTGTTTTATCCCAGGCTGCTGCTCGTGTCTTGTCATCACCTCCTCAAGAACAACTTCATGTGTTGAAAGACATCAGTCAGAATTTTCCATTGAGAGCCAGGTTGGTTTATTACTCAGTAATGGCCTTACATCTCAATCTGTTCGAAAGTGAAAAAAGTTATCATGGAATTTAATAATTCGGTTGGTGGGAATAAGAGTTCTAAGCATATATTGGCTTCTGTATGCTAGCACAGTAGTTTGTCATTGATTTCCTTTTATTATGATTTGTTTTCCTATGTTGATATCCTGCTTTAGCTACAATAAGAACATCAATGAGATACTCGTTTCGTTTTATTTGCAATAAATTACCAGTTATAGATACTACGGTATCATGCTTGAAACCAACTGTATTTGAAATTTGTGCATATATCGGTACTCCAGTAGTATGTGTACCAAGTTAGGGTTTGGCCATAATTTTATTCTGATTTTCCTCTTTTTAGTTCTATTACGATTTACGAATTTACGAGTTTGGGACTGTTTGTGTTAGCCAAGTGAATATACCCCCTGCCCATAGGCTTACGTCTCTTTAAACAACTTTATGTGAAGTAGGCGAACAAAATTAGTTACCTTCATATTGGTACACATACTTCTGGAGCGCCTATATATCTATATCTTCTATAGTTTTGCAGTATGTCATTCAGAATAGGATTTTTAACTAACAGCCACTGTTGTTCTGTTTCTTTTTTCAGATCCCTTACTAAGCAGAAAGTGCCAGATGAACTCAGACAGGAAATACAGAAGAACCAGAAGGTAATTTATAGTTTACTGACTTTTCAAATATGCAAGCTTAAACAAAACTTCATATTCGTTTTTGATGTTTTATCAAAGTCATATAAGAAACATGCTATGTCATAGAATTAATCATTTATTTCGTCACTGAAATTGATTTGATAATACTGCCTTTGAAATTTGTATTGGGTTCCTAATATCAAATATTTTTGCAGCATAGTTTTTCAAATGGAGAGTTAATGGAAAGTGGTCATATTTTACTCATTAATGGAATTCCTTTTGATTTGGAAACTACAGATATATACACGTAAGAGTGTTTGCTCAATACAGTCATACATACCCTTGAGCACTTTTGATTTTGCTTTGATCATTTTCACTAATTCGCTTGCATTAATTTTAAATTTATTTATTCACTTGCTTTATTTATTGTCTCACTACATTGTATTTTGGTAAACAAGCTAAATCTATCGGATTCCATTCCCTGCTTCAGGCAATGAAACAATGGTATCGATTTGTGTAATTTTTTGCTTCGAGTATGTGAGTGCGTAAATAATCAAGTATTACTCTAAAATCAGTGACAAAACCACAACAAAACCAATCATTACTAAACTTGATTCGTCAATTCATTAAGTTGCCTTATAAAAAGAAAATTTTGTCCTGTTATTGAGATCTTCTCGAATGATTTGAAATATACTTAAATATTTTTCATTTGCCTATTTAGATTCTGAAAAAACCTTCATACACTCTTTTCTATCATTAATTACTGTTTTTGATTTTGCCAGTAAATTTCATTTCATGCATGACGATAACAATTTTTTCTGAATCTGTTGATTTGCTTTAATCCTGAACTTCTCTCACGATTTCTTTTATGAATTGAACTTTTCCAATGTTCATGAGTTTATAAACTATAAGCGTTAAGAATACGCTCGCCACCGCACCTCTGATTACCCTGCGTCAGTTTGCAGGTTCGAATCCCATGCGGAATGGTTATGTGCGAGAGGATTGCTGGCCGCCTCTCCGCCATAGGGTGGTTCACGTAACCGCTGGTCAGTTACGGCTTCCTCCACCATTAAGTCCATGCTTCCGAAAACGAATAACTGGCTAACTAATACCATACCCGACATAGTCTGGTAACCGGACAAGAGGCCATGCCATGGTTCGCCTTATGACTATGCTGCCTTATCGGCTTTCCTCTCCCTTATCGGCTTTCCTCTAAAACAGCCTCGTGGATTGATATTTCAGAAATGGTGGATGCACTATGGTTTACGACCTGGTAGAGCTTATCTTTCCATTAATGAGAGAGTTGTATCAACTGATAATCTTGACGTATTTTCGTAAGAATGTAGGTCGTTGTTTAGATCTAGTGCAAGTGCAGAATGTATTTAGAAATGACGATGTCGCATAGATTGTGGATTATTACTGTGTTTAGAAACCATAAGTTGTGGTTTTACAATACTAATGTCGTTGTTAGAATATTAGTTTGTTTTATTTTCCCTTATAAAGTAGTTTGTAGTCCTATTTTTACTTCATATTTCTTGCATGGCCTGCTGCTAGATTTGCATGTTTTTTTGCTTTGGTGATAATTCTAGCTTATCGCTATGTCTATGCCAAACAATCCATTGCTGATGTTATATCTAAATCCAATTTTGTACATAATTTCTCATATTTTTGAGGTAAATTTTATGCCTCATCTTATAACTTGGATCTACTTGCATAAATTAAGTCATTTGTAATTTTTGTTTTAAATATTGACTTTGGTTTCTAGACTTTTTGACATTCTTCGATCAGAAAGCAAAATCATGGATGGATTGACATATTTTAATATCAAAGAACAACAGATGAAATCGTTCCTTTATCTTGACATAAAATCAAAGACAGATTCGCATTATTTAGACATCAGAGATCCAGCTGTTATTGTGAGTAAATGCAACATATATTGTTCTTGAATGTCACTATGTACCGTATATTATTGATTCTGTGCTATAGTTTTTTTTTTATTTATAAATTTAAGTACAAAATATTTCTAAGACTCATTGTGGTTAAATTTCCATCCTAAAAGGGTAAGATTTGTAACAGTGACGTATGAGCGTTATCGTTTTTTTGAGACCAAAATAACTTACCATAGTATTTCGCTGCTATCCTAAATATTATTATCTGAATTCTGGACTATTCATTATTTGTTGCAAAGCTATCAGATTTTAATCTGAGACTGAAATTCAGCTACGAAATCCTGATAATTTAAATTATTTGTCTATTTTTATGAGGAGGAGACTTATACAGTTTTTTTGTCAACGTCATGATTCTGCAAGTCCAATAATATTGTTATTGAATTCTATAAAATATTTCATGATGTATATGTGGCCATATTATATTAAAAGTTAGAGAGAATGTCAGTCATTAATACAGTATAATAACATTTACAGTGGCTGAACGACATTGAAAAAGATAAGAAATACAAACATTGGCCAACGAATCTTCATGAATTATTACGTCCAGCGTTCCCTGGTACTCTACGCCGATTGAAGAAGAATTGGTGCCATCTAGTGTTTGTTGTTGACCCATTGAATCCACAAATGGAGCATCTTATAACAACAGCCGAAGCTTTGTGGGCAAATGATATTCCCATAAAATTTGGTAAGAGTTTTTATTTTATATCCTGTAATCAGTAATTCATTTTTTGACTTTAACATTGACAGGCATCAAGATAGATAGTGTAGATAGATAGTAATCTATAGATATGGTTTGATTTCATTTTTGATCTTTATTCCTTCACTAGTTTGTGTCTTCTACTGGAAAATCCTTGCCTGAACCATTCATTTTGCACTTCAAATCCTTATCGCAATTATTTGTTTTAAGTTTCACAATTATCCCAACTCGCATACTATTATTGAATGATATCTATTACTCAATATTTTGTCCCATCCTTCAGAAGATGAAGTACTTACTAAAACTGTTCTCTTACAAGAGGCAATTTGCTACATTTATTCCCGTTTAAAAACATGAATTAACCAAATGTCAGTTATTGCAATAGCTTGAACACTTGTCATAACAAAATTTGTAGCATTCATTTTTCATGGACTTCATATACATATATCTGCCATTGGCATTTCATATTGAGGGCAGAAAACATCATTAAAAGATTAACAATACAGAACTTTGTTCAGCAATATGAAATAAGTATATAATTAGGTATTTTTATTTTTGAATTAAGGTTTTGTTTTCATTGTGAATGATGAAAAAGAAGTGGATGGCCTAACAGATGCTGGAGTTGGTCTCATAAGAGCTTATAATTTTGCTAAGAGTGAACTTTCTGGAGATGAAGCTTTCACATTCTTAGCCGGAGTGAGTTTTTATCAGGATACATAAAAAATGTTAAAAGTAAAAATTCAACCTTATGAACTGGCTGCAGAATGTGGTTAAAGCGACAATCACTTTTTGAAAATAATGACAATGTAGTCATTTGTCAGTAGAGGTTACGCGAAACTAACTCTCAATCCTTCCTCAATGCCTTAGCGCTGGTGGTTCTGTATGTGTATAATGCAAGGATGCTGTAGCAGGAGTAAACAGTATTTAAACCGCATGATTGTTCTTTACTTTCATTTCTGTAAACTGCTTTTCTGAGGAAGTCTGATTTTGGTCAGACAAAACATTACAGTAATACATTTGTGTTAGTGTGCTGCAGGAATTGCATAGTACTCATTTGTGACTGATTATTTCCGTGACTTACTTTAACTGCAATGAAGCCCATATTCAGATTGTTGGTACGAAATGTAGACATTCTAAGCTGTTTAAAGATGCAAAACTAAAATTAACTTCGAAACTTTGAAAATTTATAAATTTTTCCAAGAGTGTGGAATATTTTTCACTCACACATTTAGTACACGATATGCTTTGGCTATGGTCATCACTTTGCATATGTTAATCAAATTGTCGTTCACTGCACTTCCTATTTGTATTAAACAGATCAGACAATACAGAGGAAATTGTGTGGATAGCATGCTCTCATTGTAACCCAAGCAAGCTACATTTCCATTTTTTTAATTTACCATGCATTTTAGACTCTTTATTAATATGTTTGATGTGAAAAATCAAAGTTTTTGCTTTTTTATGTTTTTTTACTCTTATCAGATCTACAAATCATTGAAAGATGATAAAAAATTGACATCAGATCATATTGTTGAGAAAATGAAGAAGAAATTTCCAGGAGAAGATTTAGAATTAATACTTGGAGTGAAGTAAGCCTTTCTATTTACGGTATTTATTATTTTTCACACAGCCTTGTTATACATCAGGCGTGGCCAATGCGCCAACCGCCAAGTCTGGAGTGGTCGCGCTTGATTTATAGCGAACAACAAGCTAAAAAAAATTTCCCCAACTAGTTTTTTCTTTCGTGTTCTATAAGGGATGAATACAATATTTTACATGCCCAGAAGCAGCTATATCTGGGGTCACGACTGGTGAAGCGCATTATTTTGTCTATTAGGAGTGTGCTAAATTTTATTCACAACAGTAGCCGTGACATCAGAATGTCCATTTTGGTGATAATTTTTATTAATTCTGAATGAGCTAAGAATTGTCGGAAGAATTGTCGGTACTAATTCACTTTTGTGTGTGACTTTATTATCAATGGGCCAATAAATATTTTAATCGAAGACCTTAGTCAAAGATAGGGATGCTCACCAAAATAACTTTACTTGAGGAGATTACTAATTATCTCTGTATGTATAGATCCGATTATGATGAAGATAGAAGATCAGGAAAGTCGTTTTATAGAAGTTCTGGATTAACTGGGGATGTTAATGTGTTAATGAATGGTGAATTACTTTCAAGTTCCGAATTAAATGAAGAAAATTTTGAAGATGTAAGTTGACATTTAAATTCTCGTTAATTGACATTGAAATAAATTTATGAAAAAGGGCGGCCAAATTAAAAAAAAAAGAGTTTTTGTCGCTCCAGAAGTATGTATACCAATATGAGGTTACCACCGTAATCTTGTTCGTCTACTTTACATCAAGTTGTGTAAAGGAACTGAAACCTATGGGCAGGGATTATATTCAGTTGGCTAACACAGACAGTCCTCGAACTCGTAATAGAATGAATAGGCCTAATCCTAACCTGATACACAGACTACGGGAGTATCAATTTTTCTATAAATTTAACCAAATCTTTTTTATTGATTTTGGTCTGTGTTTTCACCATATTTTGCAAAAAAAAGAATATATAATAAACACATTGATTTGTTTCACTCTCCAAATTGATTGCACTTTCATATTTATTGACAGATTGTTATAGAGAGAGTTTTTGAAGCAACTCGTTACTTACAACGTGCAATATACATGGGTGAAGTCAGCGGTACAGCAAATTTGTTGGATTTTTTCATGCAACGCCCAGAAGTTGTTCCCAGATTCAATGATATTATTCTTAAAGATGAGCCTAAGTTTATTAATTTTCAAGGAAAAGCAGTTGCAGGTACGTATATACTGTCTCATTGAGCCTTCTCTTCTAATCATTTCAAAGAAATAATCAAGCCCCAAGATGGCTAAGTATTATTGCCTCATCCACATATTATAGTGTCTTCCACATACCAACAGTATTTGTCAAATTTATGCAGAGTACCCTAGCTTTTCGGGATCCTGTTAATGTAGATGATTCATTTACATTGTTGATTTGAATCATTTCAATTTCATTTAAATGTATTTATGTACCAACATACTAGTCCTACGATGCATATATTTTATGTCAGCATTATATTATTGATAATTACTAAAAATAAAAATATTAGAACTAATCGCACAAATTCATCTGAACAAATTATTTTTACAGAACCAGAATACTGGGATAAGAAGAAATTCCGAGATCTATCTAATACAGAGCAAACAGCAACAGTTACAAAATATTTAAAGAAATCGTAAGTATTATGGATCGATTAACTATGACAATATCAGAATTAAGTTAATTTGTTCGTAATTACTTGACACTTTAATTCATTAAAACAAGGGCTTCAGCCCAAAAGGGTGAACCTTAAAAAACTGTTTTGAGATAATGAGGAAAGCATGTATTTTTGATTTTTAAATTGCAACTTTTTACTTTGGATGAATATCGCTTCAAACTTCAATCAGAAAACCAGCTTGGAAGAATTTATTCAATTTAATTTCTTCAAAGTCACCCTTGTCTTGGAATCCACAAAATATAATTCAGATGCAATATTTATTCAGAAGTCTGTAAACCTTGCGCCTAACTACTATTTTGTGAGTGCAGTGTCTGTGTTAAATCAAAAAATCCAAATAAAGTTTACATATCAATCTTTTTGTAAATTTTTTAATTTTTTTGTGATTTCCATCTTCACAATAGTGCTTTTTTCAGCCACTCCATTAATTTAATTTTCAGATATTTAGCTAAATCAGATAGCACTACGATTATTCGACCTGTGACGATGTGGATTGTAACTGATGTGGAGACTAAACATGGAAGACTGCTTGTGCAGAATGCTTTGAAACATATTGTAAGTTAACCTTGTGATTCCAAGTACTAAGACAAATACAGAAAAATATGTGCCTTTCTTGACAGTAAATTTAACTTGATTATAGTTGGGTTGGTTTTGGTGAATTTTCGGGTTTTGCAGCCATGTAATTTGCTAGTGGAACATGTTAATAAATTTGAGTTTTCTTTGAATCCATCTTCAGAAATCTAGTGGCTTGTCTCGTGTTGGAATCATTTATAATCCATCAAACAAAGAAAATGGAGATGGATTTTTTGTAAGAGCAATAGAAGCAACACTTGCCACTCAACAGAATAATAATGCGAGGAATTTTATTCTAAAAATTGTGAGTATTTAACAATATTAATGCTATTGGTTCGATTATTAAGATGATTTTATTGATCATTGAATATAAGTTACTTATAACAATATGTATGCATGAGGGGCGTAAACTTCAGATAAGATTTAGCTATTGTGGAGTCATGATTGACCACCATATATGAATGTTATCAACTTTTTGACATATCAACGATATCGAATGAATACCAAAGCACTTATATACATTAGTTTTAAAGCTACATGCAAAGCCAGTCAGTTGAATCCTGTTTTTTTCCATTTCTTTGATTTCAGTTCTGACTTGCAAGTAACACCAATTTAACTGTACTATTTCCTTATGCAGACAAAAGAAGAGAATGCAGAGGCTTTGGCATCGGGAACCAAGAAGTTGCCTGATTTTTATGTTGGTGGCATGGATGAAGATAGATTTGATAAATTGTTCCAACAATCACCTAAAGTACTTCTGCCACATATTGCTTCACAATCCATATTCTGTAAAAATGTGTTGAATTTGAAGAAAGGTGAATCGGCTGTTGTTGCAAATGGAAGAGTAAGTAAAAAAACGTACACCAGAGGTTTCCAAACTTAAGTTGAGACTTTTCATTTCAATTAGCAACAAAAAAGTGGTTTTGAAATTTGGCTACATGTGAAACACTTCCAGATACGCCTGATTTTTTTTAAATGACAGGAGCGCATGATGGATTTTTGGTACTCCAGTAGTGTGTGTACCAGGTTAGGGTTAGGCCATAATTTCATTGCGATTTTTCCTATTTTAGTTCTATTATGAGTTCAAAGACTGTCTGTGTTAGCCAAGTGAATATACCACCTGCCCATAGGTTTCAGTCTCTTTACACAACTTGATGTAAAGTAGGCGAACAAATAACAAAATTAGTTTCCTCATATTGGTACACATACTTCTGGACCGTCAAATTTTTTACTTACAACAAACTATTTTCTATTTTGCACACAATGTTATTGAGTTTTCTTTCGAAGGATCAATGTGCATGGAGGAGCTTCATTTTAAAATTCGGGAATTTTTTGATCGTTCATTCAGATTGTTTAATATATTCTTTCAGATTATTAGTCTCCCTGATCCCGAGGTGGAATTTGTGACAGCAGATTTCAAGCTTTTAGAAACAGTATTATTATCATCAGCAACTCAAATGATTAAAGAGAATTTAGAAAAGGAGGGTTTGACTATGAGTGACACTGCTGAAGGTTGGTTCGAATGAAGTTGTTTTATTTATCATGTGTTTTTGTTTAAAGCGAGTCTTCCACACCCTTAGGGGTTCTTTCGTAATATGTGTACCAGGTTAGAGTTAGGCCATAATTTTATTCTGATTTTCCCTTTTCCTTCCTTTTCATTTAACTTGCCTAATTGATCTGGAATTACCCTGAACAAACTATACTTGGATACTACCAAGAATTAATTGCCAATAGCAAGCATATTCATCGTTAGAATACTGTAAATATTTGTTTGCATTTGAATCAAAGTATGTTTGTTGAAATTGGTAAATTCAATGTTTTAATCCCACTGTAGACTGTGAATATAACCAAGATCACATTATATTGCTAGGTATTCCCGTAGTGTAGTATGTGTACCAGGTTAGGGTTAGGCCATTATTTTATTCCGATTTTCTTTATGTTAGTACTATTACGAGTCGGGGACTGTCTGTGTTTATCAAGTGAATATACCACCTGCCCATAGGTTTCAGTCCCTCTACACAACTCGATGTAAAGTAGGTGGAAAAAATTAGTTACCTCCATATAGGTACACATACTTCTGAAGCGCCTATTATTGTATTATGTTCTGAAAATTTACATTGCATTCGTTTTATTTATACAGATAGTGATCTCATAATGAAGCTGACATCGTTATTGTCAACACAACCTCCTCTTGAATCAGAACGTCGATCATTGCAAGTTGCAGGATCTCAGCATAGTGTTATACAAATGGAATCGAGAGATGAATCTATTCCAGCGTTTTCAATTGTAGCTGTGTTGGACCCAGCTTCTGAGTCTGCTCAACAGATCTCAGCTCTCATATCGGTGAGGATTAATTTTTCATGAACAATGTTAAATGGGTCATCAGCATTTTTCAGTTTGTATTGAATGACTATTAGCGAGGATATACGGTTGGTTAATTGATTTTTCTTCTATTCTTTAATTTTCACATCACTTTGATACTGTGGTTTTCAACCCTTTTGGTGAAGCAGAACACCACCAATGAGACATTCCAGAGGCTCGAGGAACTCCCGCACAATAGTTTGATTGTTTTTTATTGTCTGAATTGTATAAACTATAAGTATATATAAAAGAAAACCTAGTAATGACAAAACAAAATGATCTTTAAGTTTAATAATCGTGGCAAACCCAAGGAGTTTTTGATTATTTTTAATCAATATGCATGTATTAATAGAGTCTCTCAGATTTTAACAGAAACGGAACCTCTGAACTGTAATGGCAGAGTGCTAGGGTGCCGCGGAACGTGAAAATCACTTACTCACTACTCTAATATTTCAACAATATTTTCTCTTTTTTTTTCAGGTCTTATACGATGTTATAAACACTCAAGTGAAAATCTACATGAATTGCCAGGAAAAATTATCAGATATGCCAGTTAAGAGATTTTATAGATATGTTCTGGATACAGAACCTAAATTTAAGGTTTGTTCTGCTTTCTTTCTATTGAAATATTTAGGGTAGTTAAATGATCCAACTCGCATAGCTGTTCTACTTTGCAATTTAACTAACGGTATTTGCAACAAAGCTGTGAAAGTGTGAAGGCTAATGTGTAAAAATTACATCCAATTCTGACCCATGCAATAATTAGTTATTTACACTCGACCATGTGAAATCAGCTCCAACTGTTTTATTTGGATTACAAAATTTTCACTTCAAATTTATTCCTTGACTTATAGTAATCATTTATCCAAAATCCTTCTAATATTTTCAGATGTCCAACTATCTGTACGATGGACCTCTTGCGAAATTCTCAGATATGCCTCGAAAAACATTATTGACAATGACGATCTTTCCACCAGAAGGATGGATGGTAGCTGCAGTAAAAGCTGTATATGATTTAGATAATATCAAACTAGAAGAAGTGTCTTCAGCGTCAGTTACTGCTGAATATGAATTGGAACATTTGTTACTGGAAGGACATTGCTCAGATGTTATGACAGGTAGGAGGCTTTGTGTTATTTTATGGCTGAAATTACATTGTAAGTTGTAGAGCTAAGGTAATTTTTCGTCCCTCCAGAAGTATGTATACCAATATGGAGGTAACTGATTTTGTTCACCTATTTTACATCAAGTTGTGTGAAGAGACTGAAACCTATGGGCAGGGGGATATTCACTTTGGTAACACAGACAATCCCTGAACTCGTAATAGAACTAAAATAAGGAAAATCGGAATAAAATTATGGCCTAACCCTAACCTGGTAGCTGTTACACATACTACGGGAGTTCCAATTTGTCCAGTTCAGTCTTCTGAAAATGTATTTATTATATTGTAACTTCATGGCAGAAATGCACGAATACACAGAATTTTTTTACTGGTAATCACATCCGAATTTTAATTACAAGTAGGCAGAGTTCTTATCCGGATGTTTTGTTTAATAGGAAGTCGACCAGGTGGTCTCCAGTTCACACTTGGTACAAAATCAAATCCACTACTGGTTGATACAATTGTAATGGCTAATCTCGGATACTTTCAACTTAAAGCAAATCCTGGTGCCTGGTTCTTGAGATTGAGAGAAGGAAAATCACAAGATATTTATGATATTACTGGGTAAGTTCATAATAATAGAGACAATTTCTTCAATTCACTATATCGTTCCACGGAGCATAATTCAAAACTTTCTGTTCAAATCCTAATACTACTGCATGCCACTTAATACAGGGTATAATATTTTCAACCAGAAAAATCTGAACCTCAAATGTACTTGCTTTGTGTAGCCCAAAGCCTTGTTTCATATAATTACAAGGTAAAATTAGATCTCTAAACCCTGTTTTTTAAATCATTGAATCATTGAAGAGCCAATAATATGTGATCGATAATTTTTTTCAGGCATTCAAGAACAGATTCACCACCAGGAAATAATAACATAACAGTTCTAATGGACAGTTTCAAAAGTAGAGTTATTATGGTTAAGGTTAGTATTCACCAATAGACATTTCAGAGTTGCCATCAAATCTTCCTGATATTTTCAAGGCAGCAAATGAATTGCTTCAAATCTCATGTTAACGCGCATTCCCATAGTGTCAGTTGCTTTTTGTTATTTCAGTAGTTGCTCTTAGCTTTACACAGGGATCGTTCTTATTAATTTCTGAGTGAGTTCTTTTGACCTTGGATTGAGCAAATGTTCTTAAAAAAATCCTCCAGTCTAATTTTTTTTTTGCTATATGAACTTGCAAACGCATTCATAATGTACATGTGTATAGCTTCCTTACCCAACTATTCAACCATAATGCTGATTTGCACGGTACTAAATTATGGACAGTAGTTCTGGTATTTTTTTATTCAACGCTTACATGCACCTTTCGCTTTGAACAAGGGCCTTCACTATCACCCACTGATATCTCAGAATATGTAAGAAGTATCATTTGTAAGGACCGGAATCTTTCTGGTTCGACATTGCCTGCTCAATTTATTACACCCTGGGTAAGGAAGGCCACATATGGCTTGGACCCGGTTTGTATAATCTGCGATGGCAACAAAGTTAGGTCTAATTCGACCGCTAGGCCAGTTTCAACCTTTTCCCAATAAATTCCTCCCTTTTGAATCGTTTTATTCCTCCCTCGTGATTTAAAAAAACATTGGGTACTTCTGAAGTATGCGCACCAAGATGTCGCACAACCTGAACTCTAACCTGATACACAACCTGAGTTCAGGTTGTGCGCCATCTCGGTGCGCATACTTCAGGAGGTCCAAACTTTGTTTCCGTTGTTTGTTCTATCTTCATGGGTCCTTATCCTTTGTTTCGCGCTAGTCGCACTCTAGCTATTGTGTAGTTTGAATAGTTTATATTTGCCCATAAATATGTATAAAATATTGCTAAATAATAAACAATATTAATAAAACTAGCCAAATATTGAGGAACGTTCCCTCCCTGATTTTTACCTGCAGGTATCAAAGAAACCTGAAAAACTTGATGAAGACCTGCTTGATGACGACAAAGATAGTAAAAAAGAAGGATCACCTGGAATATGGGATTCAATAGCAAAGTTTGTTTAATTAAGAGCTTTCTTAGTTGTTTCGGAATGATTACTATCCTATGGGGGATAATTATGTACTTGAGGATTGCTAGACCAAATGATTATGTTATCCATTTTTTCGACTATTTCTCACCCAGGGATAAATATGGAAATCCTATCCTATTATTATTGTTACCTATTCCTGTTTTGGCAGTATATAATACAATATTCAGGATTTTTAGAATTATAATTGTTAGGATTTTTAAGTATTTATTAGTCTTTACATATTTATAGTTTGTACAATTCAGAAAATAAAACACAATTAAACTATTGCACAGGGGTTCTTTGAGCCTCAGGCATGTTTTATTGGGGTTCTGCTCGATCAAGAAGGTTGAAAACCACTGATTTGGACTATGTTGCAATTACAATTATTTCATTATCTTTAATTTATGAAATATATTGTATTTTTGCAACAGCACGCTAACAGGTGGCACAACAGGAGGCGGAACTGCTTTCCAAGGATCAGAAGATGTTTTGAATATATTTTCACTTGCATCAGGACATTTATATGAAAGGTTGATGAGGATTATGATTGTCAGTGTGTTAAGAACCACGAAAGCAAAAGTCAAATTCTGGATGTTGAAGAATTATCTATCACCACATTTCAAGGTAAGAATGTTGATACATAGAATATATCTAGGCTTTAGTTACGCTCAAGTCAGAAATGAAGTAATTAATAAGCCGGAATAAATAGAATTTGACATAGTTCGCTTTCCTGTTGATAGTAATAGTTTTTTCTAAAATCTCCATCTGCAGTTCTGTACCGTTGCCATCACCTAATCACCCATCTGTGGTATGTAAATTGCAGTATATTTATGAACTTAAGTCTTCATTTTTCCCTGCTTAAATTAAAGTAATTATGGATGATTATATTTCTAGAACTTCATTCCCAAAATGGCAGAAAAATATGGGTTCGAGTATGAGCTTGTTCAATATAAATGGCCAAACTGGTTGAATCAACAAAAAGAAAAACAAAGAACGATGTGGGGGTAAGTTTGTTTGTTATTATGAATAATAATGGTCAATAATGCACTGTTTGAATCGTTTTACACTTCTGCTTATAACTATGAGTGCTGATGATAAAATGTTTGTAAAGATAGAGAAGCTTTTGATGTTTCGATCAAAATACAATTACATAAAATCTATTCTTTATTATTTGGTTGTATAGTGCAGTTCCCAGAAATGCCATTTTTGCAGATAATGAATTGTTAAACTCCAGGCAATATTTGTGGTTAGCCATAAGTCTAGCTGTGCTTAAAGCTATGATTGCTTAATAGTTTTACTGGATTTTCGCTTTTAGATACAAGATCCTCTTTCTTGATGTGTTGTTCCCTCTTGATGTTGACAAAATAATATTCGTTGATGCCGACCAAATTGTTAGAGCTGATCTCAGAGAACTCCGTGACCTTGATTTAGAAGGAAATCCATATGGATATACACCATTTTGTGATGACCGTAAGGAAATGGATGGTTTCAGGTTTTGGAAACAGGGATATTGGCGGCAACATCTTGCTGGTAGAAAATATCATATTAGGTTGGGATAAATATTTATTATAATAAATAATAATAGTGAATGAGAATCAATAAAAATAGAGCCCCCCATTGTGGCTTAACTGCATTGGTGCTTAGCTGACGAACAATGGAAAAAGGTAGGAATTTGTTTTACCTCTGCTTATTGAGTGGTAATATAAAAAACTCATTTATAGAGCTAAAAATTGGGTGCTCCAGAAGTATGTGTAGCAATATGGAGGTAACTAATTTTGTTCGCCTACTTCATACGTAAGTGTGTAAAGGGACTGAAACCTATGGACAGGGGGTTGAATTCACTTGGGTAAGACAGACATTCATCAAACTCGTAATAGAACTAAAATAAGAAAAATCGGAATAAAATTATGGCCCGATCCTTACCTGGTACACATACTACAGGAGTACCTTGGCTTATTAGTTGGAATATACGGTATGTATACAGCTTGAAATCTAACTTTGTTTATTTTTTTTAGTGCAATTTATGTTGTCGACTTGAAGAAGTTCCGTAGAATAGCAGCAGGTGATAGGTTGAGAGGACAATACCAAGGTCTAAGTCAAGATCCAAACAGTCTTTCCAATTTAGATCAAGATCTTCCTAATAATATGATTCATCAGGTATTTTCTAATCTCCCTTTAAACATACAAGTATCTCTTTGGATCTAAAACCATCTTACTGACTTTATTTAATTTCAACTTCCTTTCATTAAGGTTGGAATAAAATCTCTACCACAAGAATGGCTCTGGTGTGAAACATGGTGTAGTGATGCTTCAAAACCAGCTGCAAAAACTATTGATTTGGTAAGTTTATTTCTGTGACTCCCACAAGTTGCATGGACTTCATTTCACTTGTCTCTATTAACAAAGTTTGCAAATTCAGAGACAAATATACCAGTCAAAAGGTTTTAAATTGAATGTAATCAAGAAAGAAAAACCTAAAAATATTATTATTAAGTGAATTTGTGTGAAATGCTTTTTGTAATTTTTGGTGAACCTAATTTCCTATATTTTATGTGATATTTGTCTTCTAATCTAATGTTATCATTATGTTTTGTGATTGTGATATACCACCATTAAGGTCAGGCTTCAGTTTGAAGCATTTTAAATAATCAAAAAGAAACCTATTTGAATATAATCATGTCACCTGAACTATGTTTTATAGTGTGGATGTGGACTTTTATGGTCATTCAACCAGTTAGTACTTCGACTGAGATCTTGTACTGCCACAATACTGTCACATTTTAGTGAAAACAAATTTTTTCGTTATTTCTTTTCAAGTGTAATAATCCCAAAACAAAGGAGTCGAAACTGACTGCAGCTGTTCGAATAGTTCCCGAGTGGACAGAATATGATAATGAGATAAAAACTTTACAAAAAGAACTGGAAGATACAAGTAATCAAACATCGGAAACTCATAGCAGTGCAGGAAATAAACATATTGATAAAAATGATAAAAAGCAGCCATCTAAAGGTGAGTGATCTTGACCCCAAAACTTGGGGAAAAAAAATTTCCTTATAATCTGAACAATATTTTTGTCATTTATATTTACACTACCAAACTAACCCCGACATTACAAACATTCTTCAATTCGAAGCATATAAATCATATACATGTGCAGTTAATTATGGTTAATGCCATTTAATACTGTGTTGCTGCGAAAATATACCTCCTTTTTGTTTGGCTCGCAGTTAAAAAATATTTGACTTCGTGATAAAAAGAAATATTTGAAGTATAAATTATAATGCAACAAAACACCACAAGAAATTTTAATTTTTATTTTACAAGTATAGATGTAGTGGCATAGTTGTCTCTTATAACCATTCAAATTCTTTTTACAGAAGTTCATGGTGAATTATGATGAGAACTTGGTATCAAATAGAAAATGTTTGCATTAGGAAATTCAACTAAATTGAACAGTGGATCCCTTCGAACTTCTACTTATTCAGAGTGCAATAACTTCATCACACTCTCTCAAATATTCTACTGATCATGTTCCACCCAGAATTTTTATATTTCAGCCTGATATAATGTTTCATTAAAAGATGTTGATGCTCTTTGTCAAATTCGAAAACTAATGAAATTAGTTTTCATTACATTCCATTGTTGTTGGAAACAGGGAAAATTTATATTTCTATCTTTGATAGATTTTTATATTTCGCCCCAGTAGAACCAATTTAGCCTATATCACATTCCTGATGCGTAATTAGTGAGTGCTCTAAACCCTTCAGAGTAATATCTGATATTCCTCACAAAACATCTTACAAGTATGAAACCTGAGATGGCTAAAGCAACCCTCATTTTGGACATAACTACTTCAGTTTCAAAATATTCATAGGTTACAATACTGAAACAATACGGGACATAATACTTAGATATCCACCTCAGAATGTCCGATAGTATCACAATTTCCCACCCATTACATGCCAAACTATCAAATCTAGAAAAACGTCTATTATTGAAAAATGTGACAGAAGTTAGTTTGGTTTTTACGGCACAACCTGAAATCGAAACCCATAATGACAGAAGATCAAAAGGAGTTCATTTCTCAGTAATATGAAATAAGCTACTTTGCGGTTCGTTTGCAGCAGTTTTGTGCATCGTCTGTTCAGTGCCAAATCCTTCCCATTGGAAAAAAGTGTGAATTAAATGAATATAGGATCATGCTGTAATGAAATTAGTAGACGTGATATGTATGGGTAGTTTTTTTGCCTCCTCTAACACAATTTTAGCTGATAAATAATTGGTTTTCTGCTTCAATCCTTTAACTGTTTTTTACAATTTAAAGTCAGGATAGCACCTTGAACCTCCATACTGTTTAGCAATTAGTTATTGGTTAGTTTTACTGTTCTTTACTTTGAAACAAATTATCAGGCAGTAATCCCTCGGATATATATACTTTCATATCAAGATAGATCTTGAATTTTTACATTCTTACAAATGATACCGGTATGTAGATATTAGTTAATTATTTTCTGATAGGAAAACAAAGTCAGTTACAAAAGTTCAAGATGACTTTATTTATCTCTTTGAAATGTGTCCATTGGTACTAATATATCTATCTGCTGCTTAGTGTCATTGCCTAAGATGTCTCAGCTGGTTTTTCTATGTCTTTTTTCATATTGGTAGACTGGTAGCGTGAATGGCAATTTTAGCGTGACTGTTCTGCTTGAAATTATGAAGTACTTGATCAAGTCCATCCAACTGTGATAGTCAACAAAAAGAATATTCCCTGTTTACGATATATTTTGCGTCAAACTTCATCAGAGTACTTGGTACCATAGGGCAGGGGTTCTCAAACTTTTGGTGTTGCGGAGCCCTTGAAAGGTTGAATATTATTCGCGGAGCCCCAAAATAAATTTTAAAATTGTTACTTTCAGATTATTATTCCCGAGCAAGTTAAAAGTACTTTATTTATTCTAAATGCTGAACCCTTTTTAATAGGGTTAACACAAGTCATAAATAAATCTAAATTTTATACTAAAGCTGTAAATTTGACACTTGACGAACATATTAATAAATTAGGGATCGAATCTTTTCTTTTTTGACATTTTTAGAAGACTTAATTAAAAGGCCGTTAGTAACGTGCACTATTTCATTTTGTTACAATCGCCGATTTTTTCCGCCAGCATGGCGTGTTTTAAACATCTTTACGCCGCTGTTTATTCTCCCTAAATCAAAAATTTCCCTCGGCATATACATGTATTGTTACACAATGACGACGTTAATTGCTTTTTTGTTCTCGTGGGGAATTATGAGTTCAATGTGAAAAACATGTTACCATATTATAGTCATCGGCGACGAAATGCTAAAAATAATAATCAGTAAAAAGGTTAATCCACAACTCAAATTTCTTGATTGAAAAGCGGCATTCTAAAGTATTTAAACTGAAACTTAAAATGGAAGATCACACTTGGGTTTCAGCAGACTCACCTCAGATTGAAAACGCTTCTATAGACATTGTAAATCACAAAATTTGGTGTTATGTTAGGTTTTCATCGTAGTAGCTGCGAAATCGAAACACAGTCAATTGTGCGCGCGATTTACCTTTTTTTTTCATCCTGAAACTACCGACGCAGCCGCACGCAATCAATAGTGCGCGCGATCCGCGATGTACCTTTTTTCATTCTGAAACTACCGACGGAGCTGAATGCAATAAAATAATTTTCAATTGTTCGTATTTTCCCCAGACATTGTGATTTTTTAAACAGCGATATCTTGCTTAAAAATAATCTCAAGTGCGAAAGAACAAATCAAGTTTGACAAATACCAAGATCGCAAAAATACGACACCAATTTATTTATAGTTGGCAGTTTATCACATATTTTATGTTATTTTAGAATAGTATTCTTTCATTTTAGTAATCCTAATAGTAATCTCGAATCAAACGGGAGTAACGATGAGCACAACTACATTATACCGACGAGACACGTCAAATGCTCCATCGGTCTTGGATTGAATATTTTACGCAACAGAAATCTCGTTATCCGTTTTTTTAATCGCGAAAAATGTTGCGCGGAAATTTCCGATTCCAATTTTGAACCATCTCCCTCTTAAGAATCCTGGCTGCGCTACTGCTCATAAATAATGTCATTTTTTAATTCCGGCCCTTTACCATATTTCGAGGCTATATTGTTGTCAGATGTTATCAAAGCTGTTATTGCTTCTTTGAACAGTTACAAAATTTTGAGTCAGTATTTTGAAGAGTAATCGAATAGCTCGCGGAGCCCCTGGGTTTCTATCGCGGAGCCCTGGGGCTCCGTACGGAGCACTTTGAGAACCTATGCCATAGAGGGGGTGTCCTAGCAATTTGAGTGCTTGAAAACTTCTTGGTGCCAATATTAACCACACATAACCAATTATCACTTTTTTGGTTGTGGACCTCTGAAAGTTTCGACTCCTTGTTTGTACTATGCAAATGTAAGAAAGTGAAATTATTTAAAGAAACTGAAAAACATATTCTTGGGAGAAATAAAGCTATAGTACATTTACTTGTTTTATCTGATGCAGTATTGATTTATGACTAAAAATGCTGGTAGCCTATTGAACATTATTTTCCTGGAGTATTTTCAGACTGTTTGAACCTATAACTTAAGGTTTAGTTGTGAATTCTTTAGTCTCTGCCAGCGTAAACTTGTGACTTTATCCAGTGATGCATGTGTTGTAGAATTGGTATGAAAGGTGGAATATCAGAGCAAGGGCCTGCAAAGTGATCATTTTATCAACATCCAACCAACACTTAATCTCGGAGGCTTTTTTTTTAAAAAAATTTAATCTGGTGCCTTGAAATGACACATGTCATTGGTTCTCAGTCTAGGTTTTGCAGCTGTGTGCTGTGAAAGATTTGTCTGAATAAACCAATTTGTTTAGTTCAATTAAATACAACAATATTTAATAATTTTCTGCGCTCTATAATTATTCATTCCCTTTTCAATGATTGTGTTTCAGCCATAAAAAAAAACATCTTCATCACTCTGACAGTGTGGAAACAAATAAGAGATACCGTAAATGCTCGTTTTACCGTCCGATCTTGATTAAGAGCCCGTTTGAATAGCCCCCCGTGTGATCAGAATATAAAAATAACGAAAGGCTTGAATACCCGCCCGATGTAAAAGCTGATTTTTCAGTGGTAGAAAACAATAGGAAATAAGAAGCGCTTTTGTCACGACGCTGTTGAATTTTTAAATTTTTTTTGAAAATTGGAAAAGTCGCCGATAACACGTACGATTGCCTTTTGCTAAAATCGCCGAATGTTTTTAATTGTTGTGACGTGTTATTTAGGCCAGTGGTTCCCAAACTTTTTTGTACCATCGCCCCCCTAAAGTAGTTTATACAACTTCATCGCCCCCCAGCACTACAAAAGAAATGTAAAGCCAGAAACGAATATATTACAGAGCAAATAAGAAGACAACTCATAGTTTATAGTGTTTTTTAATTAGATGGATGAGCTTGGTGTTCGTCAGCGAGTTTATTAATATATCTAAAATTACCCCGTTTACTGATGGAAAGGCGATTTCGTTGTTTTGATAGCAATAGTAGAAAATCCCTTTTCACGATATAAGAGGTCGGAAATGAAACAATCCAGGGTTTTACCTTCTCAAAAACTGCCGTGTACTCTTGCCTCATAGCATTTAACTCCTTAAATACACCCCATTTCACATCAAAATAATGAAAACAAAGGTAATTTTTCTAAACTCATATTAATTATTTTCGTACATCTCGTTCGTCCCTACAGCCGGATGACCTGCACCAAAATACATGATATATAACAGTCTTCGGTAAAATTCATCCCCGATTCCTCACCCTACCACGTCCCCCAGTCCGATTACCAGTCCATAAAATTAATCAGCCATTTGTTTTGGATTCGTGCACTCGGATGGGGAAGAAGTCGTGACCAACTATCGGCTACGGCCCAGGGGTCGGCAAATTTTATGTCGCTCGTGGGATAAAATTTAGGGTTGCTAGTCTTTTGCGGGTCGCATATATTTTTTGAAAGTTAAAAACGGAACAGCGCGCGAAAACTGCGACAATTCGTGAACTCAACTCAGTCGTCCTATTGAAAAATTATTACATTGACATTTATTGTGACACTGTCTTGTTGCTGTATTACGCTTGATAGCTGTACGATGACAAGATTGGAACATTTTCTAAATGGGCATCACTAATCCTAGTTCTTTGTAATGTTCATTTTCAAAAATAATTGTTCGCACAAATATGTACTTTCAAACATCGAAATGAATATTTGGTCGCATGGTTTGTGAAATTTTGATAAAGATTTTTTTTAAGAAGATACATTCTTACAAAAATAAAGCAGTGAACGAATCTCTCGAATAGAACATGAATTTAATTTCCTTATTGCATTGCAATATATTCGAATATTTGGATGTTTCCTTGGGCATAGACTTCCTTTTTTACTTCGTGACATTGGCCAATCAGCAAGATGCAAAAATAAACGTAACAATGCCCCCCTTTCGCATCCGCTCAGATACATTTCTCACTCAGACAGATTTTCAGGCGCGGTCGTGAACATTACCTCATTTTTTGCGTTTTTGAATTATATTCGTTAGTTTTAGTTGTTTTTTGGGAATTTAAATATAAATCAAATAAGTCAATGATCACTTTGTATTCCTAGGATATTCAGTTTAATTACAGTAATCAAAAATTAGTATAGAAATAGCTGTGATAGACTATGCTAAAATTCTTTACCGGTACTTTTGAAAAACACATTGTTGAATGGTATGAATTGGAATGATAATTTGAAACAAATACCCCATTTTACAGCCAACAAGTCGCGAAACCACTCCATGGTGAAGTATAGGAAGAATTTTCCGGGGTCAAAGGTCGGGAAAAGGTCCATTCAGTGAAGCGTCCCGGGTCAGGTTATTTTACTCCGGCCGTATTTTGCCGACCACTGGGATACGCAAACTGCCGTACCTTACTGCGAAGACGAGTCCAGCAATCCTTTAGCGTGTGATAATCGCCCACCTGTTTCAAACCTACGAAAGCACGCAGAGTACAGTAATCAAGTGCACGATGCGCCTAACAAAAACAGGTTTCGCGAAATCGCCCCCTTCGACTTTTCCGCCTCCCTCTGTATCGTTTTCGCCCACCGGGGGGCGATATCGCCCACTTTGGAAATCACTGATTTAGGCCGTAAATGCCTTTACGTTGACGTTTATTGTCTCTAAATCACAAATTTGTACCACGATAACGATGACAATTATTTTATTTTGTTACTCGCACGGAATTGTGCATCCGGTGAGACTTATTATACGTTCATCGGCGGCGAGATTCTAAAGACAAATTAATGAATAAATCCACGACCTAAATTGTTTGATTGAAAAGCGGCAATATAAAATACTGAAAATAAAACCGAGGCCCGCGACAGTCTAAAAACGCTTTCCTAGGCATTAAAAATCGCAAAATTGCGTCTGCCTACGGCACACCATATGTTCGCTCCGCGTTTAGAACTTATCGTCACTAGAATCGAAAGACGGTGAATTGTGAGCGGGATTTACCTTGTTATCCATTACTTTTACTAAAATTGCCGTCGAAAATGTTCGTGTTAACATTAAACAAGGTTGAGAACGCGACTTTTCCCGGTTTGTGATGATGTATAAGATAATTAATCTATAAAGTACATTCGAACAAAATTTATTGTACTAAAATAAAATTTATCCGTGAGATTTTAAAGCAGAATTACGGATTTTTCGGAACGTTTTATCCTTAAAAATAATCGGAGTTGCAGCATTGCGATTGAAAGGAGTCGGTGTTACAAGTACATCTCAAATTTGTGGAATTTGCAAAAAAAGCAAAAATAGGATCAAAACAATATATAATCGGGCAGTTTACCCCACATTTTTATGTCCGCGGAATGCCGCGGTGTTTTAGAGTGGCTCTTGTTTTGTCGATGCAACCACAGTTTAAATTGATGACAATTAAATTAATAAAGCAAGACATTTTAAATATGCCCGTATCGGTCATGGATTGATTACTTTGCACAACAGAAAATTCATTTTTCGTTGAAAAAGTCGGCTCTTTTAACAAGTGGTGTTACCGCGGCGACTGTTTGACGCGGATTACGAGGCGGTGAGGGCGGATGAATATGTATTTTTGATTTACTGATATAACCTTCTTTATATGTATTTTCACTGTATGAAGTAAAATTGTACTATACGAATTTTATAACAGATATTGAGATTTTTCTATCGGTTTGTGTTTGGCAGTCGTCGGGTGCGGTCGCATTTTTGAACGGCGCAGAAAGATTAGATTGACAACAATGAACCAGCACTTAAGGAATATCAACAAGTAAAGGCCGAAATATGAAATTACATGGCAGCATAAAGGCAACATACGGACATCATAACAGAATCGAAAGATGAATACAACAGGGATTGATTCAGATATTTTATTTTGTGACAAAGAGTATGATATACTGCTATTTCTAGAAATTCCGCTTGAATACTGAGTATTCAACTATATATGTGTAAATAGTTTGCAGTGTAACTTACAGTGTAACATTTTTAAACATTCATTTAGTGGCATATTTTTGATTTGTTCTCTCTGTGTGTATACCGGTACTGTTTTAACAATGTTGGCCACGTCAATGTATCAATTAGGCTACAGACCTGCTCACGTGTGATTAGTGTTTTTCCTAATAATTGCTTTTATGAGTGTCCGCACACCGAATTTGCCGCCATGGTTTTGCGTTTGTTTGTATATTAAACCACTTATCACCTTTTCCGCAATGCCCAATCTAGCAATCAGTGTAGTTTTTCATGGCTTGGTTTTTCCCAAAGCTTTCATGGCTTCATGAGTATGAATATCGTCGCAAATTTATTACATTCCACTCCCCACATTATCTTTGCATGAGGTTGTAGGTATTGGTCATTATCAACGTAATTGTTGAAAGAGAGTACAACAGCCCGAAAGTTTATTACTATCGTGTATTTTGTTTTTTAAGTTTGGCCCAAGCCTCATTTAATTGGGCTTGTGTTTTTGTGTGCGTGCTGGTGGGCAGGCACATGAGATACTTCATGTTTTAAACTTTTTTGTAGGTTTTGCTTGCCCTCCAGAATTCTCCATTTTAAATTTAGGTTTGTTATGGAGTTTTCGAAATAAACTATCTATCTGTCTGTCTGTCTGTCTGTCTGTCTGTCGCCTGAGTACGTAACACCATGATTCTCAAACTGGGCGTCGCAAAACTTTTCTTCTTTTGCGGATTTGTCTTTGCGGTGCGTGGAAAAAGTCAAAATTTTCCTTATTCTAGTTTAAATCATACTTGAGAACTGGAAATAACAATATATTAATTATTGTAACGATCGAAAATAACAAGCGCCCGTGCTTGAATAAGGGCCCGGTTAGTGAGGTGGTTGAAAAAAATATGGGCCCGGGCTAAAAACGAGCAAATACGGTAATTGTTTTTATTAGGTGCATTAGAAGAGCTGTGGAGATTACAAAGTTACTCGCGTAGGTCGACCATTGGACTCTTCCACTAATATTTTGATTTAGTTTCATCACTACATTATTATAGTCCAATATTTAAAACTCTTTATGCTTGCTGTGATGGGAGTGATCGGGATCATGGTACTATCATAAGCTACAGTTTAAATCTTTATTTGAGCTCAAATTCCACAGCAAAAGAATGTAACCAGACTATATTAGAGACATCCTTTTATATTTTTCCGTCAATATTGAACAGACAATTTCCTAATTATAGCACAAACAATTACATTAGATGCGGAATCATTACCAATTAACGGCTCAAAACTATGATGGACTAATGTGTCATGCTAATATCATGCAATCAATTCAGCAGTGGCATCCACCTTGAGCAAATGAATAAAAACATCATTTAAGAATATCCACAGAAATAAATAGTGATGATTGCAACACATTTTTTTCCACAGGCACACAAAATTCTTATGGGAAAAACTAGATCAAATTGTATAAATGTAGCTTCTGTCCCTATTGGATCGAGGAACAGACCATGTTGCAACATACCGGTAGTTACTTATTATACCTATCATGGCTATAGGAAATGAAAATTTTCCAAGATACCTTAACTGATTGCATATCAATTCCATTGATATAAAATCTGTTAATCAGTTTCTTGTGAAACAATAAATAATTACACAACTGCAATGATAAGTCTGGTCGGCACCAAACTACCATCCTTCAACGGTAGGAATTCTAATTGCATCATTTCAAGAAACAGTGAACAATTTCAGACGGCCAAATTGTACCAGAACATAATCTCTTTCACATTCTCATGACATTTATTTCCATGCCTTTTTCAATTTCTTATTTTGTGCGAGTTTTCTTGTAACAAGAGCAGCAATAAACATTCCCAATACAACAGCGGCGATAAATGCATATTCAAAATCTTCTTTCAAAACATCAAACATTTTACTGGGTTGCGTACGAGTGAAGAAAAGATCAAGTCCTGTAACCAATACTATACTTGTTGACTCCAATGCTGAAGGACAGGAATAAATGTCTGAAAAGCAACAAAAAATTTTACTGATGCAATAAGTTGGAATAATGTTCAGCTAACACAAGATAATATGGGGCTTGGTCAATACAACAACAAATGAAGAAAGAAGTCAAATCATGATCTTAACGCAGACTCATCTTCAAAGGCAGCAATGACTGTTTTTGTCAGTGCATACTTCACAGTCATCACATCTACTAGTTTAAAACTTAAATATCCCTTCAAACAGGAATATATGGTTAAGTACATCAATTTTGACTAAATGAACCTATCTACCGCCTTCCTATTCTAACTTTAAAGCGCTTGTGACTGCCTTTTTGCCAGACTCAGTTGATTTGAGCTAGAAGCAAATTTTATTTTAACCATTGCAAGAGTTATGAGGGGCAAGCCCCAACTATGTCTCTCCTGGGAAATTACCAAATCTTTAAAAGAAATATGTTCATTAAGTCAAACTTTACGTTCTATATTATTATTTCTGTATATCAGATCAAGACTTGCTTTATCAAAAAAATCCTACTTACTTGTTATTCCATGTATTGTTTTATTGTAGTTAACCAGCATTGCAGGATGAACTTGGATATCTGGCACGTATGGCATTAAACCTTCCTCTCTGTGTGACTGGTCTGCTTGAAGTGGGCGTCGTGGATCAAAAACTCGTCTTGGTAAACCCAGAATTCCACCTCTAGCAAGTCCTATCAATATTTGACGAGTAGTTAATCCACGTTCTGTTTTTGATACACCCATTGCCTTTATTGTGGCCCCGACAATATAAGCTTGGGATATGACTAGTGGATTAGAATACTGATGGTCAAAAGATGAAAAAAATGAGTCATTTCGAAGTTGTTTTCCTTCATAAAGCTCAATGGATGCTATCTCAGTTCGTCGACCCTTTGTATTCCAGTATGAATATATCAACCAGTTTTCAGAATGAACTGCGTGAATCGGTCCAGTTGATTTTTTCTGCACTAAAGTATGAATCATGTGTCCAGACACTGCATCAATCAGGTATAAAGTGACTGCAGAATTTTGATCTGATTCATCTATAGAGACAGTAAAAATTGCAACAAGATTTGGATTGAGATATTTGTAAATAACACTGCGATCAGCAAGCGGTCTTCCCATTGAATCTATTCTTTCGAAAAACTCTTTTCCTTTTACAAGAACAATACTTTGATCAGATGGAATATTGACAGACCAAGTTTTTTCCATTAGTTTTTCACTATTTCCAAATCTGTAACCTGAGATTTTTCCGCTTTCTTTGTCAACACTGTATAGAAACACAGAATTTTTAGCAGAGTGCAACTTGCTGCGAACGTCAGCTGTATCAGGAATTAGTTGAATGTTCCGATTCTCATCAAGCAGTAACAAAGGCCGAAGATAAGCAGAGTCGGGAAACGGCAACAACATGACTTGTATTATGCCATTGAATGAAATCTTTCCTTGACCTTTTGACTCTTCTCCAGTTATGGGATTAAAGTTCATTATTGATACAGCATTTGAAGACCCAGTTTTCTCACTAGCAAAAAGTAAAGCCGAAGGAGGATTAGGGAAATGCGCTGTTGTTCTTTGAATGAATAATTTCAAATTTTTATCACTCATTTTTGAGTTGAAAAGACGCCAAATGATTTCCCCAGACAAACTGTCAATACCAAATAGTTTACCAGGTTCTGTCACAAGGACCAACATTTTATGAAGTGAGAATGGATCCCTTGTCATAGACTCATCTTGCACTAATGGATCTTTAGTTTTCTTTTCAAACAAAGTACCCTCTTTAATAGCTTTTGTAAATTGCTTTGCAAATGATCTTACTTGACCAGCTTGTGCGCGAATTCGATTTACAAACATTTCAACAATTGAATGCTTTTCAGCTTGCTCAAATTCCACCTCAATCCCAGCCTCTATGTCTGAAAGAGGCAGGTCCAACATTTCAGCTGCCACAATGCTAGCAAGCGCTTCTTCTCTATGCCATGCTAATCTTGTTGGCTGTGTAACCATCATAGCACTGTCATCTCTTGTGGTGAATAAAACACGATAACCAACCGGAGAAGTACGTTTAAGATACATATTGACATGAACTTTTTCAACACCACCAATATCGGGAGCTAGTGGATATTCTGTCACAAGAGAACTTTCTTCTTTACTAGATTTCAGGTCAAATCCCCGTACTTTTAATTTTTTGTCATCTACTACGGAGACAAAATAGTATTTTTCACTACCAACTCTTTTTATATCAATTTGACAAAATTCAACAGCACCCTTGGATGATGGGAAACGATTGACAACACTTAAAGAATTGTCATCGTTAAATCGTAAATGTACAACTTCACCACTTCTGGAAATAGCAAAGACATCTTTTCCAATGGATAAAACATCTTTGCTTTTCATAGTGTTCAGAGAAGAAATTTCTTCTGAAATATCTAGAGCAGAAAAAGGCTCTGTTGCAATTTCAGTTCCTTTTCGTAAATCGATAATGTAAAACGCCTCCATGCTTTTACTAGCATAAACAAGAATATTGTCTTCCAATACCACAACGTTTTTGGCATCATCAAGCCAGGCAGTCTGTATATTTTTCTGGCTCACTGGTTCTAAAGTTGTAGCATCATAAAAAGCAGCTGAGACAGACAATCCCTCATTCAGAATTAAAATGTGTTTTTGTTCTGAATCTACATACAATTTGCTATTCCTCTGAACATCTTTTAAATCAACAAAATTTACTTTGAGCTTCGAAGCAGACTTTACCCGAATAGTGTAAAGTCCATTTGTTGACAAAATCACAATCAAACTTCCTTCTGTGTAAGTTAATTCCATCAAAGCAAAGTCAACGAAATCAAAGTTTTCACCTCCGCTGTCTTTCAATTCATAAGCAATATTTGTATCCCACTTCAAGAGTCCAGTAGCTGGATCCCAGACGCGAACAATACCACTAGATGTGACTGTCAAAACACCATCATTATATTGCACAATTTTTTCAATCTTATCTTCCAAAATTTGCCTCCAATTTAACTGACCATTTTTTGAACTCAGACTTGCAATCACATTCTTCTCAGTGGCAACATACAAATTTTTACTGATAGATAAAGAACTGTCATAAACCACATCTTTAATCTTTCCAATATATTCTTTTTTCCAATCGTACTTATTAATTTGATCTTCATACAAAGTTTGACCAAACTTGGCAAAGAGTAAAACAAAGGCCACTCTCATCAACAAACCCATTATTGAGGCCTATTCCAATAATCATGAAAATCCTATAAATATATAGAGATAAAAAAAAAACATCGAAATGAAACACATACCAGCATAAAGACGACATATATAAATAGGATCGGTGCATTTACTGATTCAATTTATCGAAAGGGACCTCTTACCAGTATACAGATATATTCTAGGAAGGCTTAGCTCATGCAGTTGGAAGCTACGGTACCGGTACCCTACCTACATTGGTGAAAGTACGCCAACAAGAAGAAGACAGATACCGTATTCATTTTCCCTGAGCTGTAATTAATAAATAAAAAAATATTGAAATATCTTCACAGTGGTAATGTGGATAGTGAGATAAATTTACTACACTAACTTGGATGACTGACTTACAGCTAAAAGAATGGCAAATAGACTAGGTAAAATGCAACCGCGAATAACGCAAATCGCCGACGACGCAGAAATAAAAATTGAACCCTGCAAACAGCAAGCGCACTCTAGATTCAGACATGAACTTAGCACGTGAAGATACACATTGGTAAAAATTGAAACATATGTGAGCGTCATGTCGGATATTTTTCGCCATGTCTCACTTTTTTCATCTTTACATGACCGAGATTTTCATATCACATTTCAGACTCGGATATTTTATTTCCGTCGTGCATGAAATATCGTACCGAGTACTACCGACACAAGTACAGAAGTAGTAAAAAAAAATGGTAACAAAAAGACACTCACTCACGACACTTTGGACACTCACGTGCACATATGAATCGTTTTCCGAAATTAATGATAATGATGTTGTGAGTGAGAGTTTATTTTATTCGTCAAACCGTAAATATGGCCTATACGTCAAACCACCATAAACAATATATGCAAACATATATAAATAATAATAAAAAACAGATGCTTAGGTGTATGACTGGGAGACAACGATACGACCTTTTGGGGTCATCAGAGTCAGTTGCCATCCAATTCAATTAAATATAACAGGTTCGGTGTCAATATATCAATCCGATACCATCTCATGTTTGTTTACTATATACAATATTTACATGTTTTTTTTCATTATCAAAGCGAAACTATGGTACCGGTATACCATTCTTTTAACCAATGACATTAAACAACATGATAGGCAACTCTGACGTCACTCCATAAGACTACATGCGAACGATTGTATTTCATGATACGCTCCAATGCACATATTTCTCGTCGCCTTTCGCGACGGTTTTCCGCTTGCTTTCGCTACTCGGCGTCTTCTTTACGTGTAGTACCTCCCTTTTTGCGCCTGTAACGAAAGAAAATAATCTCTATATCTGAGAAGTTTTGCTCATTTGGAAAGCTGGAATGGCAGACAAGCTGTAAAGAGTAATTCTGAACATCATAGACGTTTTTTTTTATCAGAGAATATTACAAACGCGATAGCGTAAAGATTTGTGTGAAACATTCTGCAGATAATGACAAAGTTCCAAGTTAGTAATTTTAAAGTTTGCGTTTAAACATTGAAATTTAATTAAAAGAAGAGGGTGTCATACAAAACAGCAAAACTGTTTTTACTTCTCTTAAAGGTGCTGTGATACAATTCCATAACACAAAGTTTGCACCTATCGAATTTGCTTTAGTAGGTGAATTTATTAGACATATTACATATTCAGGTAATCGTAGGTAACATTGCTGGTACATAATGCCTCGTAGATAGGTTTGTGTCTTAATTTAGGAATTTAGCTCATAGCCCGCTAATTAATATTATCTTCTATGCAGGAGATTGCAGGGCTGATTCAACTTGCAGCCTTACCGATCACCTGACGATGCTCATTTAGTTTGTCTCGAGCAAGTCTTCTTGAAAGACTTGTGTGAATGAAAACTACCTATATGTTTTGCCTTTCTCCCGATTTTAGAAGACAAATTTATTTTGAAGGATTTGGCATATAATTCTCATTGATTGTTGGCTGTTTATAATTCCTATTAAATGTGAATTCTGATTATAACAAAGAGTTAAACATTTTTTTACGTAATTTACGGGCACTTTTTTCTTGTCAATACTCCAAGCTGAGGTAATAAGCAAGACAATACATTTATGTCATCTGGAAGCAAAATATACACACTAATTAAAAGTTTGATACATTGAGATAATACATCATGACAGAAAATACAAAGATACAGTATGTATGACCATCACATGGTAATTAAAATTTAAAAAAAATTAATAGAGGCTGTGGAGTATGAAAAGTTCAAGACAAAGAAAAGAACAAAAGTTCATAGCTCATGAACTCTCAATTCTGCCTCCATTGCTTTGTGAAGGCCAATATATTCCGAGTGGCTGAATTGGTTTACCTTTATGATAGCAACGGTTTTGTATTTAATATAGCGAGATTTTTTTTCAATTTAATTGAAGTGATATTATTTCCCAAAGCAATGCTTGAATCGTCTAGAATAGATCAGTGGTGTCAAACTCATAGGTTTCGAGAGCCGCATTGCATGTTGGAAATTGTAAAAAGGGCCGCAAACAGTTTTTGATAATGTATACTTGAAAGGTATTTTTCAGATAGTTTTAGTTTGTGACATATATTGTGATGCAACTAATCAGTTGGATTAAGTTTTCTAATTTCCTTTAATTTCAAATGCAATTACATATTAATATTTGCATTCCACTACCATGTACATCAGGGGTCGGCAACCTTTTGTCGCTCGCGGGCCAAAATTGATGTTGCAAGTCATTGGCGGGCCGCACTTATTTTTAGAAAGTTTAAAAACCTAACGGATGGTACTTCTTAAAATAAAAATCAAGCAGTGATACATCTCTCGAATAGAATATAGTTTTATTTCCTCATTGCATCTCATAAAATTTCATTTCAATAATTTCAGCGCCATTGAACCCTTTGCACTTAGCATCAACTTTTCTGCGTTTTGTTGCCATTTGCCTAATTATAATTAAATTATATGCTCATTAAACGAGTAATTGTGAATTATATAATTGTTAGGTTATAATATAATTTAGTCTAAAGAATATATTCGTCAAAGCGGATCCGGCCCGCGGGCCGTAGGTTACCGACCCCTGGCCTAAGTAGTAAAATCGGAAAATGTGAAGTTACAAAATCACAGCTAAGGGGTCGTTGTCTTTAGAGGCGTCCCACTTTGATGTCACAAAAATATGGTAACCCTAATTATAAACGGATGTTTTGTTACTATAATTTAGTGAAGCGTCGCGGGCCGGATTATAGTGCTCCGCGGGCCGGATCCGGCCCGCGGGCCGTAGGTTGCCGACCCCTGATGTACATGTACAACCATCAAAATCATTTTTGAACAAGCGTTGGTTATGGAAAGAATAATACATATACTAAAAATGACTTAATCTAAATATATGAACCTAAAATTAACAAAAATACTTCAGTATAAACTCAATGTTTTTTTAATTACATTTGTCCTGACGTTTGGCATCTTCTTTGTGTCACCAGCATACTAAGGCCAGGCTGAAATGATTTTATAGTACCAACTCTAACTAACGAGGTCACATGATCATGGGTTAATCTGTATCTTTGCAAAAGTTTAATTAATTCCAGTAATGCAAAAAAGTTACTTTTATCATTTCATGTATAGATCAGTAAAAAAACAAATGACAGATTTTTTCGACAAGACATTTCGAGCTACATTGCATGGCATAGGATTGCTTGAATTATTATTGATATTGATTTTTAGTAACTAAGTCGTTGTATATTTATATTAATATACAAACACATGGAAATTTTCTGTTCGGAGTTGGTCTTCGAATTGTCATATTGACTGCTGAGCTTATTGTGTTTTTTCATTGTACTGATGGAAATATGACAAATTTAACAATGTGCTTCAGAATTTTGTGAAATGCAGAAATATTGCAACTCCCATTTTCTTCGAAAATGCCACCTTCTTCATGTACTTCAATTTAATCACTCAAGTGTTTTATTCAGTATTCTTTTGCTAGCTTGATGTGTATTCTTAATTGAGTCAAAATGTGAACAAAAAAAAATTAACTTTCTAAAACTACTTTCAGTAAATTGTTTTCTGTGTGAATATTCAATTTCAAGGTTCGAAAAATCTCTTACATTTAAATAAAAAAAAATTCCAAAATACTATCACAATTAGTGTTAAGCGTTCGAGGGCCGCACTGGAAGTTCTCTGGGGCCGCGAGTTTGACATCCCTGGTCTAGATTGAAGTTGTCCAAAATATATAACATTATTTTATCATGAATCATGATTATACCCTTTCCTGAATTTCTTCTATAGTACTACCAAAATTTGATGAACCAAATATAACACAGGTGTAGTCAGTGACCCGTAATCCTCATTTTTCAAAGCTGTTTTAAGTATGTCTGGCATGTTTTGTGCCTTTTTACAAAGAAGACCGCTTATGCAATCTTACGCTTTGGAATTTTTAGTTATTTCCCTCAAGCCCTGCAGGATGTAGGGGCCATACACAACTTTACCGGAGGGTCAAATGTCTTTGCATTCTTCCATAGGTTGTTCTTCTATTGCAAACATTTATGGAGTAGTCTAATCATATTTCTTGGAATCAAACTGTCACTGATATGTCGCCAGACTTCTGATATCTCCCCTTCTGCTACAGTTGTCCTGTGAATAAATAATAGGAAATTGAGGTTAGACGAATAGTTGAAAGTTTTGTTTTATGTCGGCCTAATTTCTTGATTGATATACTTACTATTATTGCTATTGCCTCTTGTGCTGCAGGAGTCTCACAATGCTTAGACAGGTCTGTCCACAACTTTCACATCTGTAGGAGAGGAGATGTATTAATTTTCGTTAAGAATAAATAAAGCAGTCTATATGATTCAGAATGGAAAAGCTAATAAATCCAATATCTTATGTTTTTTGTAAAAAATGTTTTACTGAATTTGGTATATAAACCAACTAATAAAGGGGTTTAGTCAGAAAATTATAAGCATTCGTGGCTCCAAATACTTGAGAGATCAGACTATACAATATAGACCGGTAAGAGTGAAATTTTAGGTGAACTTGTTAACCCTTTGATTCAATACGCAAATAAAAGTGAATGAGCAATAGTATGTTACAGCAATAA